CAGGGGCTCACTCACGTCCTTATCAGGCCCCCCCCTTGTTTTAAGGAGCGGCCCAGCACTGGCTCCCTCAGCAGAGAGACAGGGACAGGATGGTATTTATGGGAAGGATGGAAACTGTCAGCATTGTGACCCATGTGTCAAGGATGTCTGCCTTCTTTTTTTAAAATTATTTTTCTTTACTTTTCCTTTTCTCTAATTCACTATTTTTGATCTTCATTCATTCCGGTTATCTTGCCTCGGTGTGTTTTGTGTTTTGATTTCTAGTTTTTGACATGAATACTTGGTTCATTTAATTTTCCTTTCTTTATATTAATAAATATGTACTCAGTTACGGTTTTCCTTGGATAAAACTTTGACCACCCCCCACCACACACAATTTTTATATTTTTGCACTACCATTAACTTCAAAATAGTAACTGCAGCTTGGATTCTCTTCTTTTCACCCAACCGTAAGCTAGGACAGTTTCCCTCCCTTCTTTTCCTTGTTCTGATGCTTGGATTTCTGACTCTTTTGTTAATAACACCTGGTTTTATGGTTGTAATTTCTGCTTTAAATTCTTTATTGTGATATAATTTATGTAACATAAAATCCACCATTTAAAAGTGAAGCTCAATTCAGTAGTTTTTTGTGTAATCGCCGTGTTGTGCAACCATTCCCACTACCGAATTTCAGAATATTTCTATCACCCAATTTCTGCTTTAAAAATATTTGAGAAACCCACTCACATGAACTCAAGTATAAAGGGGAACTCTCACAGAAATGAAGTACAGGAACAACAGTTGAACTTCAACGGAAAGAGAGAGTCCCAGGAGGCTCCTGTAGGGGTGAGACGCTCTTGGACCTCTTTTCATCTACTCCAGTATCTACTCTGTTGAGCAGCTTCCTTTGCTTGAGCATGGCTCAACGTGACCACCGGCCCCAATTTTATGTATCTATTAAGATCTAGGATTTGCCACGGTACTTGTGTCCTAAAATCCCAGTTTCTAGAAGGATCTGATAGCCAGCCATAGTTTGGGCCAGGGGTTCCTTCCTGGTCCCATCACCTCTGTGGCTATATAAGGATGGTTATTTGCTCGCCCTTCCAACTGTGCTAGGAATGGGGTCAGGTTCCCTTAAGGAGATGCTCTGGCAATATTTGCAAAGGCTGGCATATCTAATACAACGGCCTGAAATAGGATCCATTTTTAGAAATCTTCCATGGCCCCTGGAAAAGAAGGCCATCTCTGTGGGTACAGCATATACATCATACACACCCACAAGCACAGACACACACCCACACTTAGAAACAGATCAGCATAATTATTGTTGCAGGACTCGCTTGTACAGATGGATGGCGGGTGACAGTGCTGTGGTTTGGTGCCATGAACTGTGGAGGGTGTCCCTGTAAGAAATGGACATTCCCACTGCCCATTCAGCCTGGGAAGAATCAGATCTGGGAGAGAAAGTGAGAACTCGCAACAGGGACTGGTGGGAGATGCTTTAGACGATGGGAAAGACAATTCCTTCCCCTTTTGAATCCTGAAGGTCCCCCCTGTGCTAGAGGGTACTTCTCCCAGGTGGAGCCCTGTGACGGACGACAGAGCCAGCTAGTACCCTGCAGCAGACGGGGCTGTGCTGTGCCCTTCCCTGCTCTGCTTTGACCTTCTACGAGCCTTACCAGGCTTCCCAGCCCGGACTTGGCTGTGCTGTGCGGAGTAGGGAAAAGTCCATGGCCAAGCCCAGCCCAAAGACAGAGGCACACGGGGCCCCTGGGCCAGCAGGACGTGGCCTTCTTACCAGGGAGGGGACCTTCAGGGTCAGAAGGCAGCCTGAGAGGGTCAGTCGCCCCTCTTGTCAGGAGATTTTCCCTCCACAGCCAGCCTCAGAGAAGAAGAGCTTTGTCATGGAGGCTTCCTTATAATTCTGCTGCTCATTTTTTCAAATAATCTGCTTAGTAATTGAGAAAGATGTTGCTGCTCATCACAACTGAGCTTGCCCAATTCTCCACACACTTCTAGTGATTTTTGCCTTTTGCAACTTCTTGTGGGAACTGGTGCAGGAAAGGTGTTATTTTTAAACTGCAAGTTACTCTTTATCCACAGAAAATAATGACACATAAAAAGACTTTGGTCCTGTTTCTTTTTGGTCTTGACTCCCACTGCCCAGCAGTAAATCACCCTGGTTTTCTGACTGCATCTGCTTGATATACTTGGGCTCATGTTTTTCTGTCTGGCCCGTCTTTACATCAGTTGTTTGTGGATAGTTGTTTACTGTATGATAAATGTTGACACTCAGTGAGGGCGAAGCTGCCCACCACGTTCTGGGCATCTCACCTGGCACAGTGGTTGAGAAGCAGAGATGTGTGGGTGACTGACAGCAGTAGGTGGGGCTCTCCCAGGCACATCTGCCGCCCAGCTGTCACAGATGGCATGTTGCTCAGCAGTTCTGGGATGACAACCTGCAAACTCATGGGTCTCTGTGGGGAAAATTGAAGTTCCCATGGCCAGGATCCTCACCTGACCCTAAACTACTTGATGATGTAACTGGCCTGCTGCTAGGCTACTGCTTCCACACCCGTAGGTAGGCAATAAGCTATTACTGACTGAGTCACTCTACAAAGAGCTCTGCCCAGGGCTCTGGGTGGAGGCAGAGACAGAGGATTACAGACCTGCAGACTGTTGGATGCATACGTGATTCTAGTGCTCTACCCACCCCACTGGGAGAACAAGCCAGATAATAAACCCTTTTGCCCCAAGAACATTCCATCCATTGGCAAGACAAGGCCCGACGTCAGGTACATGGTAGCTCTGTGTTTAGCAGCGGGGCCCAGAGGCAGGCAAAGGGCCAGTCCCCAGAAGCAGCAGGCACCGTGACTGGACCCGCCTTCCTCCTCTCCGCAGGCTGCCCATGGTGTTGGGTGAGCGACCAGAGGTACAGCATGGGCAGGGTGGGGCCTGGAGAGGAGCCGAGTCGGCAGGGTCAGGGGGACAGGATGCGTGTGTGCAAACCTCCGAGCAGCCGTGTGTGGAGGGGGCAGCTGAGCTGAGCTCTCTGGAGGCCCAGGAAGCCGGGGTGAATGGGAGCCCTGGGACTGCCCGAGGGGAGGTGCATCTCCTGCAGGGCTGTGGTCCAGGCTCCAGCAGATGCGGAAGAAGATGTCGCGGGGCCTGGGAGCTAAAAACCCTTCTGATTCCTTTTATCCCAGAAGCCCTGAGATTCCAGAAATTCCATCCATTTGGGCTTGGTAGAAATTCCAAGTATAATCTTCACAAGAGAGACAGGAGGAGGGGGAAAAAAGCCAGCACACAATTTTAACTTTTTATATATAATTTGTACAATATATTTCTCTTCATCTGCATATTTTACCCACAACTTAACATTCTTTTTACAGGCTGAACTCACTCAGCTGATATAATCAAAATTCTTTCCTTCAACCAAATAAGAAAAATTCAAAATTGTAAACCCGTAAGAAAACAAATTAAAAACGATGATGAAAATAAGTCACTCCTCTCATTAGGAACAGTGTATCATATATATGTTTTGGAACAGAATTGCTTTATAATTAGGCACATGTTTCCACAATACTTCTATTCTGACGGTTTTATCTCACTGCAGGCAGTCCCGCCTCCTAAGAGGGATCAGACAGATGTTGGTCTGGATGGAAATCCATTCTGTTGGGCACTGATGGTTTCGGCTGGGGACCAGGAGCTGTGGGAGCCTCTGGCCTTGCTCAGGGTTGCTCTAGGGCCAGGGGAGTGGGGCCTGGCTTGGCAGTGCCACCCAGCAGTTGGAAGAGAGGGGGTGGGGTGCAAGGATGCCAGGCTGGCAGTGCCAGGTGCTGCCACGAGAAAGCAGCAGTTGTGTGAAGGAAAAACTTAGGCTTGTTCTATGCAAAGTGAAGTACAGAGAGACCAGAATAGCAAGGGCCACGGACAGGGAGAAGCTATCAAGAGTCCAGCGTTTATTTACAATTTATCTTCCTGATGGGAGGATGGGAAGCAAAGCTGGTGGCAACTGCCACAGGGGCAACTGCCCTGCCCGTCCCAGCTGTACTGAGTCAATCCGAGGTATGGAGGGGCGTGGGTGGCATGGTGAGGTTAAGCAGTGAATCGCACAGTCTTGTCTCCTTGCCCATCTTCTGGGCAGTCCTTCAGCAAGTCTGCCCCATGGTGGGGTCCTTGTCTCCCAAACCCCAACAGTTGTCCTCTGGGATCCTCTCACCACCAGCCCTACTTGGGTCAGGTGGAAAGGAACATGGGGCCTTCTCTGAGGGTGCTGGCAGAGTAAACTATGACAAGGGGTTTCTACCAAGCTGACAGTGCCTGTCTACTCGCATCCCAACACCACAGGAGATCAGGCCAGGCCCAGGGCCGTGGGCCTTGTTGACGTCAGGGCGTTGGGCGTTAGGTCACCAGATTTCAGAATCCATCCCATCTGTTTCCATCTCCTCCGACATCTCCCTTCCATGACAGCTGTACGTGCAGCTTGAGGCTTGGCTGGGAATCTCACTGTAGGGCTACAGGTCTCTGCGCCTCAGCCTCCTGACCCAGAGGCAGAAGTGCTCCTGCAGTAAAGTCCTCCCTGAGCCTGCAGGCTTGGGCTCCTCCAGCCCAGACCCTGCAGACTCTGCACGGGGGGCTCCCGAGGCCAGGGGGGTGCTGACCTGCTCAACTCGGCCCCGGCTAAGAGGAGCCTTTCTTGAGTTTAGCTCCATGGGATGTGCTTGGGCCCAGAACCCACTCTTACATGGTGGCTGCCTCAGGCATTCTTCACACCACAAGCCCTGTGGAGGTTTGGACATGGCCTGTGTGCCACACCAGCATTGCACTCCAAAGTGCGGCTTTGGACAGAGAATAATAATCAGCACTTCAGGGCAAGACTACAGCCATGTAAGAGAAATGGAAAGCAGCATCCATTAGAATGGACGCAGTTATTGCTAGACAAGTGACAGCCAAATGCCCATGTGGAGCCCCAGAGCTGGATGGGATGGGTTTCTGTGACTGTGAAGCAGAAATAAAGTGTGTGTGTGTGTTTTCTTACTTCTAAAATAAGATCTCTTCTGCTAACACTTGAAGCCTTTCGGACCAGAAGCTAGAGCATTCCTCAAGTTCTCCTTTCACACACACCAGCTGGTCCCCAGATGACCTTACCTCTGCTCATTCCTTTGAGGCCTTCTCAAGGAAGTCAGTGTGGTTCTGTTCTAAAGGGCGAGGTGGAAACTGAAATGTGTTACAACTGAATAAACGCAGATGTGCCGGGAGCCGGTACACAAGCGAACGCCCTGGGCGGCCTGCTGGCTGTTCCCAAGGGCACGTGTTCTCACCAGGGGTTCCTTGGGGACAACCGCGGCTGCACAGGGAAGCTAGCATGGCACCCAGTCCTTGCTGACTGCCTGGGGACCAGGTGGTAGCCAGGAGAGGCCCACACTGGTTTGGTCTGGATCACCTGGTCTCAAGAAACAAAAGCAAAAGAAGAGCTCCCAGGCTGTTGCTGCCACTGGGGTCCTGGCTGAAAAAAGAGGCACTGGGGGGACTGTCTTCACCTGAAAGGCAAGGGCAGGCAGTTCCAGCTCAACTGGGACAGAACGCTTTCCGCAGGGACTGCTTCCAGGTCCTCCCGGGGCTGTGGTTTCCACGGGGGCAGACCCTGGAGAAGGCTGCCTCTGCACAAGCTTGTCAAGGACCTGCCGCCTGCCCTCTGAGTAACTACACTGCTCTGTCCATTCTCACATGCTACCGTACATGCGGGCGGCCAGCTCGTGACACGGGGAAGTTCTGGAGACACGGCTGCTTGGCATTCTAATCGGAGTGGAAGTGGGAGCTCAGGGAGAGCCGGGTGCTGATGTCACAGGAATCTTCCTGAATGAGTTTAGATATCTGCTCTAAAATTCCTGTGGACAGATTAGCCGGTTCCATGCACGCCATACCAAGGGCTAACACTCGACATTCCAGAGGTGGGTTGCCTTGTTTGGGTAGTTGATGGCCAGGCTGATAGCAGCAATGTTCTGCAGAGCCTGTGGAGGAAGAAAGAGTCATGGCCAATGTCAAGAACCATTCACTTGCTCATTCATTAAGTGCTGCTGAACAAGACCCCCAGCTGAGTACTTAAGGAGGCAAAGGGGGAGGCAGATACCAGCAGAGGTGGCTCCCCTCATCTGGAGGCCCAGTCTACTTAGAGAGACAAAAGCTACTGAGACCACATGAAAACTCCAAATGTAAGGAAGAAATCCTCACTGCACCGAGAGAAGGGATGGTGAAATGCTGGGGTTCAGTGGAGACAGAAGACACCATCTTTGAGGGCTGTGGGAAAGCTCTTGAGGGAGAAAGAAGAGCAGCAACGTGCAGACGGAACAAACAGCCAGTGCTGGGGACCACGAGGTCCCGCTGGGAAGGTGCCTGGAAGGCAGATGGCCTGCACCTGCCTTTGAGTCTGGGGCAGCAGGAGTGGAGGGTGATTGGGGGAGGAAGAGGTGGTAGACAACCCGTCCAGCAAAATGGACAAGACCCCAGTGCCAAATGGTCAAATCTCAACATTTTGTGGTAGGTCATGAAATCAGGGGTGGTGGTGGTGGTGCTGGTAGGTATCTGCTAGGAGGGGAGGGACTTTTTATTCTGCCTCTAGGTCTCAGGAGAGTTTGCACTATCTTCTGCAGTAGATGAGGGTCTTCCCGCTCCTAAGCAGGCCCTCTGACCCTTTCTTGCTGGAGAGCCGTGTGTTCACTGAGACAACTTGCCAGGAATGGAGAGCAGGGCACTGGGCAGGGGGCCCAGCTGGATGCCCACACAAGTGCGACCCTGGACAAAGGCCTCCCTTCCCTGAGCCCCAGTGCCCCCATCTGTCGGCTGCAGGGGTTGGGACACATGCTGTATGATATTCAAGGAGTCTGTGGTTCTCAGAATGTAGTCTGGGATCTGGGGCTTTACAAGACCCCTTCAGGGGTTCTGCATGGTAAAAAAAACATTTTCACAGTAACACTAAGACACAAAATTGGCCTTTTTCACTTTGATACTCTCCTGAGTATACAGTGGAGTCTTCCAGAGGCTAAGGTGTAATAATAACAACAACTGAATGAAGAAGCAGACACGCAAATCCTGGTGTCTTCCATTAAGGCAGGCATTAAAGAGATCTGCAAACACGGAACACAATGCCACCCTTCTCAAGAACTGATTTGTTTAGAAAATTTCAACTGTTTTTCTCAAAACATGTTACTCATATTAACATGGAATGGGTCTATTATTTTAAAAAATGAATTGATACATGTTTAAAGTTTTTGTCTAACTTAATTTCTAAATTCAAAATCGAATCTAATTTCTAATGGTATATATCAATACACACAACACACACATAACACAAGGTTTTGGAATCCTCAATAATTTAAAAGTATAAAAGCATCCTAAGGCCAAACAGCTGTCAGAAGAGGAAAGAAAGTTCAGAAAGTCAGAACTTTCTCCTACCAGGGAAGAAAGTTATATCCAAAAATATCTGAAATCTAACTCTATGGAAACTTCAGGGTTCTGCCAAACTGCAAATTTAAGGCATTGGTTGTTTTGGTTTAAAAGACACAAATTCTTGTGAGTGTCTTCTGTCCTCACAATTTAGTGTGAATGTCACAGAGAAATGGAGGTTGACTGCTCTCCCTGACAGCACCAGGAAGTAACTGAATTGGAACAGAGCTCCAGGTCAATGCAGGGTGGATCCCGTGCTTGAGCCCCAAGCACAGAAGCTCTGTCCTGCCATGGTGATGGGGGGTGGCCTGCCACAGGGAGGCAGCCGCAGCAGGCTGGCACTGCGTCGGGGGGAGTACCTGGGCCGCACAGCGGAGCAGGTGGTCATCAGTGGTTAAGGCCAGCAGGTAATCCTGCAGCAAACCAAGCTCCTGTGGAGAGAGCAGGGGTACAGCTTGAACACACCACCCCAGAGGGGACACCTGCCCACGACTGCAGAACTCTGAGTGGGTGATTGGTGCTCACTCTGCTAGGCAGCTCACAGCACCTCACTCAGGAGCCACAGAAGGAGCTGCAATGACAGAACCAGGTGCCTGGTTCCAGGGGGCTCTGCCTTGACCTACCCATAGGCTGACTGGGCAGGGGACACCCCTGGTTGGGTCAGCTTCCTCATGCATAAAATGAGGAGGATAAGCTGGAGGACTCTGAAAGGTCCTTTTATCTCTCACGTTCAATGAATCTATTGTGCTCAGGGGAGGAAAGAAAGGAGGATGAAGAAAGAACCCAGCTGGTTTATTTTCCAAAACTAACTCTTGTCAGGGCTGATCCAAGGCAGCTCTTCCCCGCTTTGGCTTTAAGCCTGACAAAATAGGCCATGTTGGGGCTGAGCCGAGGGCTTCCCAGGGCTGGGGAGAGGGAGGACCTCAGATTCAGGGCCACGCCTGCCTCCTGGTGCAGGTCTGCTGAGACCCCAAGGACACCCCAGGGCTCCGGACGAGGCTGCGATCCGAGTCCTGCCCTCCTGCCCAGAACCCCAGGGCTGGGCCCTCACCTGGGCACGGTTCTCGGTGACGAAGAAGAGCTCGGTGAGGGCACGGTGCAGTGGCAGGAGGATGCCAGGTTGTGTCACATCCTCAAACAGGCTGTACTCCATGTGGATGAAGAGCTGCCACAGGGGCTTTAACAGCGCAAGGTCACAGAGGTCACTGCGGGAGGGGGAGTGGGGTGGGGTGGTTCACCAAGGACCACGCCATGTCAGATGTCACACAGATGGCAGCTGAGGGGGACTGCAGCTCCGGCTCCCCCTCCCCCACATCTAGGAAAGTCATTATGAAATAGACCCACTCAAAATAGCCAAAAATATTCACCAACAGCAAATAAGGAAAGGGGGCAGAATCTGAATTTTAAAACAGGACTCCAAGGAAACAGGAGATCCTGAAGCACATTCATGAAATCAGCTGCACATCTTTAAAAACAGTTGTAAGGAACTTCCAGTGGCCGTGGAAAACTCCCAAGATAAATATTAAGCAGAAAAAGGCAAGATACGAAACTCCATATACAAAAGAAAATTAAAAAATTAAAAAAATGTATATATAGTATTATGTAACCATATTAAAACAACGGTAAACAAATACACCAAAAAACGTTATCAGTAGTTGTCCCTCTCAGTTTTCTAGATTTTCCACAACACTCACTGCTTTAATAATGAGGAAAAAGAATGATTTAAAAGACAACCACAATTATTATGATCCTAGGGCTCATAAAATACAAGAAATATGCTTATAAGGTTGCCCAGGCCAGAAATCTCTCTCAGTAAAGCAGGATCCCTTTTAGTTGGACAGACCAGTGAGACAATGAGAGGCTGCATGGGTATTTTTTTGCTCAGAGGGAGATTATGCTTTGATTCTAGTTCAACAGCCTTCAGAGGAGAAAAACTATGAAGTAAACAATATTCTGGGACTTACTACATGATTTTATACATTTACAATCTTAAATTTTGTTTTTTCTCATATTGTATGACTTTAGAAAGAATTCTGTAGATTTAAGTGTAATCTTGGAGCCAGTCGCCTTCTCCCAGAGGAATGTCTTCATATGGGAAAATGTGGTTTGAGTTTAAAAGATAGCTTTACAGCTGCGTTCTCAGGAAATCACTGTAGAGTATGGAGTAAAGTGCACTGCCAGGCTCATGCCTGTGGCAGAACTTGCCTGCCACCCTTCCCCTGCAGGCTGCCTTTCCCTCAGCCCCCTGGGACAGAGGGGTACGGGAGTGTCCTTACTGGAAGGAAGGTCAGCGATGGTCAGCAAACCACAGGAAAGCACTCACGGTGCGCAAGGAAAGGCATTCCCGTCTACAGACACTAGAGGTGTGACACGATTCATACACACCACTTGGCCAGATAGTTCTCATGGAAGCCACTCTCCAACAGAACAGAACTAAGCCCCTGGGCAGAGTGACCCCTGATGCTTGCATAGGAGGGTATACGGTGGTACCAGCAATCTTGCCCAGCTCTCTCCCTACCTACCTTCTGCCAGCCTATGCACAGACTACACATGCCATCAATTTTTCTTCCCCAACTTGGAGAGTCCTTTATTTTTAAAACAACAGCTCCATATTACACAAGAAGACAACCCTTACTTTGAATATCATCACTCCACTCTGACTAGCATTCTGTATGTAGCCTTAAAAATGCTGCGAAGTGGGGCACTGAACTGCTAACAGGTGAGGGTCTGAGGACTGAGTATAATGATGCAAGTGGCACAATCACCAACACCCTCCCTTTGAGATGGGGAACAAGACAATTACATCTTCAATCCCCATATTTGTGTTTCGCACTCATGGAGGTCCTGGCTAGTGCAAAAAGGCAAAAACAAACAGTTTCTCAGGACTGAAAGAAAGAAATAAAACTCATTATTTGCAGAAAACATATGCTGAATAATCTACAAATATATTGCAAGGTCACTGGACAGAAGGGCAATGCACAAAAATTATATATCAGCAGAAGAAACAAACATAAAATATTTAAAATGCCAATTATAATAGCATGAAAAACCTTAAATATGTAGGAATAAATCTAGCAAAATTTTGTGCAAGTTCTCTAGATAGAAAACTAAAAAACATTATTAAAACCTAAATGATGGAGGATTGTAGATCATAGAATTCAATGTTCTAAAGACCTTGATTCTTCCCAAATTGATCTAGAGTCGGTCAAAATCCCATCAGGTGAGAGGGGTATGTGTGCGTATACACGTTTGTGTGTACAGAAATAAACTAATCAGGAAGAAGATAAGGATGCCGACTCTTGCTACCTCTCTTCAACAAACTGTACTGGAAGTCCCAGCCAGAACAATTTGGCAAGAAAAAGAAATGACATCTAAATTGGAAAGGAAGGAGTAAAATTGTCTCTATAAATGACACACTATATATAGAAAACACTAAAGACTCCACTGAAAAAACCTGTTAGAAATAAATTAATTCAGTAAAGTTACAGGATACAGCATCAATACAGAAAAATCAGTTGCATTTCCATATACTAACAATGAACTATCAGAAAGATAAGTCAAGAAAACAATCCCCTATACAGTAGGATCAAAAAGAATAAAATACGAACAAAGGAGGTGAGGTGAAAGATCTGTACACTGAAAACTTCAAAACACTGACAAGAAAAACTGAAGAAGGCACAAATAAATGGAAGGATATTCAGTGTTCATGGATTGGAAAAATTAATATTGTTAAAATGTTCATACTATTCAAAGCAATCTACATATTCCATGCAATCCCTATCAAAATTCCAATGCTACTCTTCACAGAAACGGTAAAAACAATCCTAAAATTCATAGGAACTACAAAAGACACATTATTTACAAAGCAATCTTGAAAACAAAGAACAAAGCTGGAGGCATTATACTTCCTGATTTTAAGTTATATTACAAAACTACAGTAATCAAAACAGTATTGTCATTGGCATAAAAATGACATACAAATCAATGGAACAGAATAGAAAGCCCAAAAATGAATCCATGCACACACACAAGGCACCAAGACTATTCAATGAGGAAAGGATAGTCTCTTCAAAAAATGGTGATGGCAAAGCTGGGTACCTGCATACAGAAGAATGAAACTGGACTCTATCTTACATACACAAACTCAAGTCAAAATGGACCAACAACATGAATGTAAGACTTGAAACTGTGAAACTCCCCATTGGTCTTGGCAATAATTTTTTAGATTTGACACAAAAATCAAAAATAAACAGGTGGGACTACATCAAACTAAAAAGCTTCTGCACAGCAAAAGAAACCAGCAACAAAATGAAAAGGCAACTTATGGAACAGGACAAAATATATGCAAACCACATATATGATAAGAGGTTAATATCCAAAACATACAAAGAACTCATATAACTCATAGTAAAAACATAAAACAAAAAACAAGACACAATTAAAAAATGGGCAAAGGACTTGAATAGACATTTCTCCAAAAAAGACATACAAATGGCCAACAGGTACATGAAAAGGTGCTCAACATCACTAATTATCAGGGAAATGCAAATCAAAACCACAGTGAGGTATCCTGCACATGTGTTAGGATGGCTATTATAAAAAAGATAGTAACAAATGCTGGCAAGGATGTGGATAAAGAGAACCCTTGTACGCTGTTGGCGGAAATGTAAACTGGTGCAGCCACTGTGGAAAACAGTATGAAGGTTCCTCAAGAAATTAAAACTAGACAAACAAATGTTGGTGAGGTTATGGAGAAAGGTGAACCTTTTCCTACACTGCTGGTGGGCATGTAAATTAGTTCAACCATTGTGGAAAGCTGTATGAAGGTTCCTCCGAAAGCTCAAAATAGAAATACCATTTGACCCAGGAATTCCACTCCTAGGAATTTACCCTAAGAATGCAGCATCCCAGTTTGAAAAAGACAGATGTACCCCTATGTTTATCACAGCACTATTTACAATAGCAAAGAATTGGAAGCAACCTAAGTGTCCATCAGTAGATGAATGGATAAAGAAGATGTGATACATATACACAATGGAATATTATTCAGCCATAAGAAGAAAACAAATTTGCAACAACATGGATGGAGCTAGAGGGTATTATGCTCAGAAAAATAAGCCAGGCGGAAAAAGACAAGTATCAAATGATTTCACTCATATGTGGACTATAAGAACAAAGAAAAAACTGAAGAAGCAAAACAGCAGCAGAACCACAGAACCCAAGAATGGACTAACAGTTACCAAAGGGAAAGGGACTGGGGAGGATGGGTGGGAAGGGAGGGATGGGGGGGAAAAGAAAGAGGGCATTATGATTAGCATGTATATGAGGGGGGGGCACAGGGAGTGCTGTACAACACAGAGAAGAAAGTAGTTACTCTATAGCATCTCACTACGCTGATGGACAGAGACTAATGGGGTATGTGGGGGGGACTTGGTGATGGGGGTAGTCTAGTAAACATAATGTTCCTCATGTAATTGTAGATTAATGATACCAAAAAAAAAAAGAAATTAAAACTAGAACTATCATATGATCCAGGAATTCCACTTCTGGGGACATATCCAAAGGAAATGAAATCATAATCTCAAAGAGATATCCATACTTCCATGTTTGCTACAGCATTATTCATAATAGTCAAGGTATGGAAACAGCCTAAGTGTCTGTCAATGGATAAATGAATAAAGAAGATGTGATGTGTAGAATATTATTTAGGCATGAGAAATAAGAAAATCCTGTCATTTCTGACAACATGGATGAACCTGGAGGGCATTATGCTAAGTGAAATAAGCTGGAGAGACAGAGAAAGAAAAATATTGCATGGTATCAGAAACATGTGGAATCTAAAAGCAAAAGTCAAACTCACAGAAACAGAGAGTAGAATGGTAGTTGCTGGGGTTGGGAAATGAGGGAAATAGAGGTTGGTTTTTAAAAGGGTACAAACTTTCAGCTGTTAGATGAATAAGTTCTGAGCATCTAATATGTAATAAGGTGATGATATTTGGTAAGAGTATACAAGACTGTACTGCATAACAGCAATATTCTGAAAAGCAAATTTCAGCAAGAGAGTGGAATTAAGTGTTGCCACACTCACCAAAAAGGTAAATAAGTGAGGTGGTGGATGTATTAACTCAACTGTGGGAATCCCTTCACATACCAAATGTATACACGTATCAAATCGGCACTTCCTATACTTTAAATATATTATAATTTTGTCAGTTAAACCTTAATAAAGCTGGGAAAAAATAGAAACACATTAATTCTAAAATTTATATGGACATTCTTTATATAATAATTTATATTAAAATAGCCAAGAAAACCTGAAGAATTTATACTACCAGATACATAAATTTGCGATAAATCTACAATATTTAAGACAGTGTGATACTGGCACAAGTGCAAGCGAAAATACCAATGGAACCAAAGAGATCAGAAATAGACCCAAGCATATATGACCCTCTCTGGGACAAAAATGATGGTGGAGTGGGTGAGGGAAAGGCGGTCTTTGAAGACACTTGGAGATCCATGTCAGAGGAAGCCAATCTGGACCCCCACACTTCATGTCATGCACGGAAGTTCATTCCATGTGGACTATAGATCCAAGACTATACATCCAAAATGTGAAAGGAAAAATAATCTAGAAGCTAACGTAGGAAATACCTTCATGCCCCCAAGGTCAAGTAAGGGAAAGATTCCCTGCCCAGGACAACAAAAGCAGTGCCACAGAGGCCACAGAAAATTCACTGGAAGCCATGACAGCTAGAACTTTCTTTTCATCCAGGACACCACTGAACGAGTGAAGCGGGAAGCCCCAAAGCGGGAGGGGCACTGGCAGTACAAACACTTGGCAAAGGAGTCACACCCGGGGGCAGCTTACTTGCGGGCACAGCATCGCACGATCCTCAGAAGTAGGTGGATGGCCTTTAATCGCTGATGACCAGTCTGGCGACAGGCCACGCCCACCAGCCATTCCCAAATTTTGGCCAATGGGAGGTGCGGCACGACTCTTTCTTCTGACAACATCTGCTTCAAAATCTCGAATCCTGGTCAACCCCCAAAAAACACAGATGTTTTAAAAATATAAACCACTCAGCTTTAATAAAGAGGATGCAACAACTGAGGCCATTTAAATTTTGTCTGAAATGGAGCCTTTTGTAAAAGCAACATAGGAACAACATTTTCAGTTGCCCCTTTGTGCAAAATGCCCTGGCAAATTCCAAGAGAACAAGTGTCTTTTTTTAGTCCCGATAGATGGCTCTTGTATCTGGCCCTTCAAGTTTACAACTGGCTAACTACAGCACATTCAAGAGTGCTACGTGTGGGGCTGGAGTCAGATTTGTGGAAGTCTTGTGGAAAAGAACCTGCTTTGATTTTAACAAAGATCAGTGACATAAAGACACCTCCCCCCACAGAGTATCCCTGGCAGGCAGATCATGCAGATGGAAGACTAGAGCACACACCTGTCTGGAATCGCCCCAGGTGTCCAGCTGTGACAGTGAATCTGTAGCCCCACTCAGTGTTGCTCATGTCAGAGGTGAAGCGGTAATACAGAGTGTCTCCTGGGTCACACAAGAATCAGAAACAGGTCAGGACACTGCAGCAGCAGGGAATGGCAAGTGAGGTGTTTCTGATGAAATATATTAGACCTGGGTTTAAATCCTCCAACCATTTCCCTTCTTGGTATTATGTTTAAACACTTAATGTTAGAGTCTATATAACCAAGTACTGATTTACTACCTGGAAGCTCAAAATCTTTCCATTTCTGTTGAGACCCACTGAAATTGTGTCGATCCTGCTGAAAGTCGCTACTGCTGGACATGGCTAATTCGTCACAGCCTTCTTCCGTATTGCATTGAGAATCAAATTTGATGGAGAGGTAGATTGCACCAGGAATGTGAACTTTATCCTAGGGAAGGGAAACAAGAATGCTTCTGTAAATACTGGTCACTGTATAAGCAAGTTCTGGAGGGCTTGCTTCCTGCCAAGTCCTGCAAAGGAAACTGGGGATGCAAGAAGGATAAGTCACAGCCCCTGTCCTCCAGGAGCTACTGGACTAACCGGGACATGGAGTGTGACCCGGGGCTGCAAACTTGGTAGGAAGCACACTAGTGTAGACTGACTGGGGCACAGTGGGGCAGGCTTCACCTGGAGGAGGAGGGGAGGGTAGAAAAGGTCCCACCAAAGGGATGCTCGGGTTGTCGTAAAGCATGAAAAGGACAGGAGGTGCCAGTCAGGGAGGAAGAGCGGCAGTGGGCAAGGTGAGAGGGGGATGGGAGTGCATGTGAGCACATTTCAGGCAACGCAAACAGCGCCAGAAAGTCTGATGTGTTCAGGGAACGGCAAAGAGCTTGATGTGTCTGGGGTAGAAGGTGAACTTTGTGGGCACATACGGTTGGGAGGTGGGGACAAGGGTGACCTGTGATGGACAGGTTATCAGGGATAGACAGTGATGGCTTCAAGTGTTAAAATGAGGCATTTACACATTGTCTGGACAGTAGGGAGAGCCCGGAAAGGCTGTACGCAGGAGGAAGCCCAGGCTGGGTCTGTGTGGTGCCAGGATCATTCTGACGGTTTCTGTTGCAGCAAGGCCCAGGCTGGGGCAAGGCCAGCAGTGAGAGGTCAGAAAGGAGCCGCCGGAGGGACCCACGGAGGGGAGGAGAGTCCGGGCAGTGGGAAAGACAAAGTAATTGCCTTGGAGGTAGAACTCTGTGGCTCACTGGATGTGTCTGCATGGGGCTGGGGGAATGGGGATGGAGCCCGGAAACACCAGAAGAGAGGAGGCTTCAAAGGAAGAGAGTGAGGAGGTTTGCACTGCTGTAAAACAACACCTCAGCCAAGCCACAACCACATTCGAGATTAGTTCCTCTATCAACCACCACTGTTGCTATAGGGTGCCATCTACTCGGAAGCTCAAGCCTGGCCAGCTCCAGCACTCTGAAAAGGGCTAAGGAAATGCAAGCGGCATTAAGTCAACAAGAATAATTGAGGCCACCACACTCCTACCTCATCCCAACTCACTCCTGCCTCTCTCCATCCAGGTACAAAGTTAAGTTTGGAAAAGATGAGGCTTTTCAGTTCTCATAATTAAACAAAGGGGCCGGACTCTCCATGGTGTGGCCAGGTCATTAGGAGATGGATAGATTGCTGACCCTAGACCCACACAGTCACTGCCAGGAGATGCCAAGGAGCAAGTCTGAGGAGCTTGCTGCAAGAAAGGTAAAGTCTCCTCCAGGGCCAGGCTGTGCTCTACCGGAACAAGCTCAGGAGAAGAGACCCGGCCGTACAGGACCCCTGGCTTCGGCAAGGCAAACTGAAGCTAGATTAAAGCAGCGCTTTGTCAGCCAGCACTGTCAAGAGGGCATAAGCTGCTGTGGGCCCTGATGTGATTCCTGCTGCTCAGCAGCCCTCCACGCTCCCTGAGGCCAGGCCACCCAGGATCATACCTCAAAGTTGGTGTTGTTGTTATATGGGTGTTTCGATTCCCTCACTTGCACCTCCATTCCTGGCTCCTCCATGAACTGGCAGGCAGCCAGGGCCATGCTCCCCAGCATGTTCTCTTGGCAGCCTTGGAGCACCTTCTGCAGGATCTGGTGGGACACAGCACAGGAATGTGAGGGCCAGCAGCTGGGCCACGGAGCTGCCCCTCAGGGAGAAGGGAGAGACTAAGTCTCTATCAGCCCAAGGCCCACCCACGGGCTGGCTTCATCCTGGACATCTCCACGGCTCTGAGGCTTGGAAAGGATCTAGGGCACTTAGCCAGGCAAATTAAGGATAAGAGGATAGATTCAGCTCCTGATGAATCCTCACGTACTGCATACGTGTGGGTGAGGGTGGGAGGTTAGAGTGTGCCAGGGCGGCAAGGGGATAAGGATGAGGCAGCAAATGTGACTCCAGATTTTTACACTTGGAAACTGGGAAGATGGAGGCAAACTTTTTAGTTCAGTTAGAGATAGGGCCCTGGGCTCCTGAAGTGTGGTCTGGCCAGAGAGAGCCCAGGTGGCTGTCCGCTGCATGGCTCCTCCAGTTCTATCCAGCAGGAAGAGGAAGAGATGTTTCTAGCCCTGGGAAGGTCTCCTAATGCAGCACTACTTTAAAAGACTATATTAAAGATTTGATTTAAAAACAAAAAATGGCCTCCACCTGTCAACCTGAAACTTAAAATTAGAGCACTGGACTGCAGAGAATGCACAGACCTGGGAGAGACCCCACGCTACCACCCAGAAGCTGAGTGCCTTGGACAAGCCGCGTGCATTTGATTTCTTCACTGATAAACTCTCCTGGTCACAATGAAAAACAGGGGTAAGTGCTGGCAGAGTGTCTCACTTGGGGTGGACATTCTAGAAACAATGTTTTAAAACAGAAGACAGAAACCTTTCTGGACGGCTTCCTGTGCTGTGGGAACAGGCTATGAACGTCATAATGAACCCTGTCTCCGGGACTTGTACTACCTGAGAACCTAAAGGGCCATGGGAAGAGAGGCTAGCAAGGTGATTTAGACCTGCACGTGTGAGAACAAAAAGGAAAACCACAGTGCAGGCTTTGGGGGTCGTCACCTTAAACACTCTGTGGACACCACGTCTGTCCTGGGCTGACAGTGACCCTACCCTGCCTTTGTTGCCTTCACACCTGTCAGGGAGCCATACAGCCACACAGGTAACCTTACTCCAGGGACGCATTCACTAGAGGAAGCCTGTTCCAACACCTGGTGGTGGGGAGGACAGAGTAGGAGCGAGATGGGTGAGTGCCCAGTGTGCCTGCTTAACAACTACCTTTTCCCACTGATGCTTTTCTTCCAGCTGCATGAACATATCCAAAATGTAGGTCATATGGGCAGGTCCACTTAGCTCCAGGATGTCCTCGCTCACTGGAACATGGCCTGGCCACTCGGCGAGCAGGGACGCGAGCACATGGCGGGCATACAGGACAGCTGTGGCCTCATTCACTCGGAAAAGGTAGTCCCGCACCGCCCTCTTGTTCTTGCAGTTCAGCTCCTTGTGCAGGAGGGCAGCGCTCTTGCTACGCCGCTGCTTAGCGTAGCTCTGCTGCAGTTCACTCTCTGTGCTGGAGATCAACTTCTGGGTCACAGGGTTTGACTCGGCTGTGGCCTGGTTGCAGCGTGCGGGCCTGGACTGCAGATCCAAAGACCACTGTTACAGAGACCCGCCCTTCTCACAATGGTGGGATGTGGGTGGTGGGGGGTCAGGGGCAGACATTTGTTTCCCAGGCAGAGGCAACATACCAAGCAGGGTAAGATAATCATGTCTGTATCCACAGCTTTGGCACTCTGCTCGTCCAACCTCAGACTCCTGCTGGGCTGCCACTTCTGAGCCAGCGTCCGTATCCTTTCATCCGTGGTGAGCTCATCTCCATCAAACCTGAACAGAAAGAGCACAGTTTGAAACACACGTTATAGAAAGGCAAGAGTTTAACTGAGAATGAAACTTGTTAGAAATGTTGATCAGTTATTTTCCTGTAATTTTGCAACTACATTAATATTTTCCATATTTCGCAAACTATATTCACAGCATTCACTCACTCACACACACAGATGTACACGTACGTATGCCCCTGTGGCATGCAAACTGTCCCTCAGGGTCCATTCTCCCTTTCTATTAGAAACAAAGTTCCCTGAAGTTTTAGCAAGATACACAACCACCATCTAGAGACACGGTTCCCAGCCCTTGCTGCAACTGGGTTCTTGCCAACAAGAGGCCAGTGAGGTAATGTGTGCCCCTTCTGGAGCCCACCCTCAGAGTGGATTAAAGATGCGCTCCTTTCTCTGCCTTCCCCCTTTCCTCTGGGCTGGAACAGAGAGCTGGTGTGGGCAAGGCAGCTTTGACTACACAGACGAGAGCAGCACCCTTGGGTGTAGGATCACTCTGTGGAGCAGAGCTGCCCACCCACCTTAGACTACTGCCTATGTCGGGACTGTGTCTGACAGGAAAACTGATTGTATCAGCCTTGACCCATGGTATTTCTGGGTTTCTCAGTCACAGCAGCATAGACTGTGCCCTCACTGAGGCAAGCCTGCTTTATTTCACAAAGGATTTGAGGCTTTATATAGAAGAAATACACATGGAAAAACAGAAATTTGAAATAAAAACAAAAATTAAATTGGAATTGGATCTAAATTGGAATAGATGTGGGGGGTGGAGATGTTGCAAATAGGTAAAGTTTTACACAAAGTTAAGAGCTCGGCCCAAGAACTAGCTCTGAACTTCCCAGCCAAGAGAAAAGGAATATTACTAATTTTATAATAATCCTTGAGGAAAAAACATGAAAACAATATGCAGCAGTGAAAAAACAAACAAAACAATACTTTGGACCAGAAGGCCCTGCTTGGCGGTATCTGCTCCCTGGGATGACATATGGGAGAACCTTGGTGTCTGTCTCAGTTTCTGCATCCACAATGAGTTTACTCTAAGAGGCAGACTGCAAATGTCAAGTTTTTCCAAAAGGGACATACAGCACAACTCAAAGAAGATCTGTGCAATGCTGCACAGTCAGCTTTCATGTCACTTTATGAAGAACGAAAAAACAGTTCCACATCTGCGTCCTGGCTGTTCAGGGGTTTTTACCCAGGTCTCATCAGCAGGAGGTAAGCACAGCCTGCCCTCGCTTGTTCTCTCACTGCACTGCAGCTGCATCTAAACGCCCCGTACCTCTTCTGAACCTCCAGGAAGAAAGAATCGGTCCTTTTCATCTGCAGTTCGTATATGGCCCGAAGAATGTGCAGAGGGGCGTTGAGGGCATCATGAGCCATCTGAAGGCCATGGGGAGCAAGTAGAAGAGGGACAGTTTAAAGTGCTTCAACATTTTATTGATAATCTGAACCCAAAAGTGATAAAACAATGAATTTCTAAAGTTACTACAGGATATAACTGAAGAACATCATATTGGTACTTAAAGCATATGAAATTACAAGCCCTAAAACACAGATTGTAAAATCTGCATTACTGTTATAAATTCAAAGGAATATATGAAACAGGAAACAAAAAAACATTATGCCAACAAAATGCAATGCTTTTCGCACTAGTCAGACATTATGCACCACATGTGCCCATGGCTAGCTAGCTGTGTGCTCTTGCACTCAAGCTCGACAAGTGGCACGTAAATTATATACTTTCAATTTCTTAAAAAACTGTACTTGCTTTTTTGACACCCACCCCATATTCTCTGTTTACTGTTCATATAGTTAGGCCCTTTGAAGTCTAAGCCCTCACCATTTTCACATCATCCTGAGGAAGAGGATTGTCCAGGGAAAGTAAGAGAGTGAGTCTGAGAACTCTAGGGAAGGAGTCTCATGTGGGGGCTTATGTACGGGCCTGGAAATTACATGCAAAATTTTACATGCGTGCTTGAATGTGTTACTGAATGCAGGTAACAATCTAAAGCATTTGGGTCTGTGACCCCAGAAACATTAAGAACTCCTGTTGATAGGGCTTTTCCATTCTTCTGGCCCAGTTCTGCACAATACAGATTGAGCTGTCAGGAAGCAAATTCCCAGTACATCAGATTGAAGCATTTTCATGTGGACGCTAACACACAGGCCAAGCCAAAGAGAATCCATCCCTTGGAGGCCCTTTCTCCACTCACACCATGGCCCCAGAACATACCAAGAAACAAATTCTGGTGGGCTCATCCAGGCTTTCAAGAGGGTCTGACTTTCTCTGCTCTGGTTCACTAGGGCTGCGGACCGGCCGTCCCACCTCCTCCTCCAGAGCCCCTCGTTCATCCAGCTCCAGGTCGCCCTGCTCTGCCAAAGCGCTGATCTCCTTCTTTGAGGAGTACAGCATGATTGACAAAATCTACACAGAAAGAACATCAGGCAGGGCAAGAATATGAGTGTTTGGTGGGTGAGAAGATTACACAGGTCTTATATCCTCAAAGGGTAGAAAATATTTGATTTAACTTTTTAAAAGATATCAGAATTCACAAAAAGAAGTAAAATGAGTAAAGAAACATGAAAACGTGTTCAAAGAAATGTTAACTAAAACTATGAGTGGTCTTTGTGATTATTAACTTTCCACTGATAGCATCCTTTTAGAATGAATTTTGGTGAAATGTGAAGAACTATGAAAATGTTCATAACCTTTAGCTCAGTAACTCATCTTTTTAGGAATAATGTAAAAAAGGTAAAAAGTTATATTCACGATATGGTTGATAAAGTAATAATGGCAAAAAATTGAAATCCACCTTCATGTACCATATATAGCCATTAAAAATGGTGATTATGCAAATGAGCAACTTAGAAAAATGGCCATTATATGATTTCAATTTATTTGAACACCATTCTTACTGTGCAACCTAAATCTATATATGTAATACAGACACAGAACGAAAAAATTAGAATAAGGAAATAAATGAAACGAATGGTAGCTGCGCTGCAGGGGATGAAATATGGAGTTTTTCTTTATTTTCTATTTTCCAATTTTTCTGCAATGTAGTTCTATTATTTGAATAACAAAAGCAATTGAATTTGAAATATTACCTCAGAACAAGAGCTCAAATGCTCCCCCTTTTTATGTTTCATACCCATTAGTATGTTTCAGTATATTTTCCTAAAACCTAACCAAATCCTCTTATGGCAACAGAGAGCTATTTCTTCATGGCCAGGCCTCTGTGTGTGTGACTGTGAATGGCTGGATGCCTACCCCCCACATATCAGCAGCGTTTCCTGGACCTGAGGGTGGCACCTGGTACAGAAACCCTACAGGGAAACACAGTAATTTCATTAAGGAAAATCTAAAGCCTACAGGGAATAAAATAAAATGAAAATTACTGACTTAAGTCCTACATGAAATTATTATTAAGTGAGGACAAATTCTGAAACTCATTTTAGTTCAAAGAACTTTAAAGGGAAATAATTGTTCAAGGGCACACTTCATTATATGATATAATAGTCAACCATGTGTTTCCATAAACTACTTTTTTCTTCCAATGTTCTTTGAACAATCATCAAATTCATTTTCCCTGACAGGGGAGGACAGCTATTATAATCTCTATTTCCAAAAGGGGAGACACATTTAAGGCACAGTTTTAATGACTGTGCAGAATGGCAGTGCACAGGGCAGAACCAGTCATAGGAGCTGCTGAGTCTGACTCCCCAGGCAGCAGGAGCAGGAGACGCCCTCATCCCTTACTTCCAGGTCCCGGAGGAGCCATGTTTTACTGAAGCCCGTCCCTTTGCTGCACTTTTTCACCAGCAGTTTCAGCAAATCAGTCTGAAGGAAGGTAGCATGGGTCTCCTCAAAACCATGAGCCTGCCAAAGAGAAAAAGAACGATTTGCAACTGCTGTAGAGTGAAGAAGGTAAGGGTCACTTGGGGAGAAGCAAGCCTCTTTCAGAGTCCAGCTTACCTTCTGGTGAAAATTCCAGAGTCCGCAGGAAGGATGAAACTCTGAACCTTAGCTATAACCTAAGTCCGTTCATTCACGAATTCATTCATTCAACAGATATTTCTGAAGCCTAATATATTCTATGTGCTAAATCCTATGTTAAGAACAGAAGTTTTATGTCCCTCTCCTGATCTCTATGTTTCAACAGCTTCCCGCTGCTCTTTAGGCTAAACTCAAAGTCCCTGACCATGGCTGAGAGGGCCTGGGCTCCGCCTGCTCCTGCGGTCTCATCTCCCTCTTTTGCACTGTCTGGAAGCCCTGGAGTTTGTTCCTTTTGCTCCCTGACCCCATGCCTGTTCCTGGGCCTGGAGTTTGCTACCCTCCTGGTATGTGATGCTCTGCCCAGAGTCCTTATCTATCACCTTAAATTTCACCTTCTCAGAAAGGCTTTTTCTGACTCACGGCTCTTTGTTGTCTCTTGCAATTTATAGACTTGTAAGCCCCATGAAAGCAGGGACCTTCTTTCTATATCAATGACATACTCAGTCCATCTGGTACTTGGTGCTCAACAAATATTTCTGAAATGAAGGATTCAAAGACAAAAATGGTCTCTGCCCTCAGGGAGATTATTTTCTCCTTCCTACTATAATGCAAACAACTAAAATGACAGCACATTGTATTAAATTTCATGAAATCAACAAACAGCAGATATATGGTCTTAATCCTAAAATTACAGACTCGCAGGGCTGGACCAGAGCTGAAATGTCAGCTAGTCCAATCACCCCGTGGTGCTTGAGTCCTTCTGTGGCGTTCTCACCAGTGCTGCCAAAGTCAAGGAGCTTATAAACCTTTCACATGAAGTCCTTCTTTCATGGCTAGTGCTGTTGGGAAGAGCATCTTAAAAGTGGTCCCTTCCTCCCCATCAAAGCCCCTCAGGGAGCAGAAGAACCACGTGCCTCTCAAGTCAAGGCTTCTCATCTCCATGCCAATTATCACCCAGCTCTTGTCTGCTTCTTCCTACCCCCAGCTGTCAAACCTATTCCTCAAAGATCCCATAAGATGCCAGCCCCCTTTATTCTTCCTTTCATCTTATCCTACGATGAACCAGAAGGAGCTGTGGTTCAAAGTGTTCAGTCTATTTTTCTTCTCATCTTCCAAGGTTATGTGCCCATTAGGCAGTAGTACCTGGTTCCATGAAACAGTACTGAAAAAATACACAAAACCAACTATTGAGAAAATTCTGGTTTTTCCTTAAAGTTACTCTAGTGCAAGACCCCAACCATTTCTAAAAATAATCAAGAACCTATTGTTAACCAGCCATTGAAATTAGATGGCATTTCCTCCTAGTTAATGCCCTGCATGTGTTAAAACCGCAGCTAAATTTATTAGCAAATGGAAGATACCCAACATTACCTTTAGAGTTTTATATAATCCTTTGAGGGCCAGGGACAGGACCCAAGTTGCTTCCACTGCCTCAGAACACTGGCTGTCCATACTGGTTTTCAGGAGGTGACTGGCAATAAAGGCAAAGTGCTGGGAGTACTGACTCAGCTGGGCTTGAGAGTCACTGCATTCCTGCCCTCCTCCTTTCTGGATCAGCTGGTAGTCCTTCACTGCAGGGTGATGTCAAGCAGGAAAAGAAAGGCACAAAAAGTACAGTTAATTCTTCCTGCAGTTAAATTTCTTCCCTAGTAATGTGCCTTACGGAAGCAAACACTGCAGACCTAAAACACAAATCTCCCTGGCTTCAAATAGCCATTATATTTAAGGCCAGCTTGCAGGTGAGCACAAAAATGGTACTGGATGGAACATCTATCCACTAAACAACTGTGAGAGGTAATTAATTTTCCTACTACTATGTACAAACAGGCTGTCTCCAGAGTTGTTAAAGGAAGCTGTTAGATATAACACACAGGAGAGACTTCCGCTTCCAAACAAAACTGAGTAAGAGGGATTGGATTTACCCTTGCCTACTTTAAACAAGTAAAACACTGAAAAAATATGTGAGACAATGGTTTTCAGACAATGGGTAATAGGTGGTACAGGACCTCTGCTCCCTGAGAGAAAGGCCATAGCCATGGGACTCCTCCAATGGACCTGGCCAGCCTGGACATTTCCAAGCTGCAGAGCAGGGAGTGGAAATGGTTGAGCAGAGTCCCGCAATTTCAATGAACTGAGAAGGCAGAGGCCAGAGTTCAGGAAAGTCAAGGCAACTGGAATTTATGGAGCAGAATATCACTGAGAAGGGAGATGCATGGAGAAAGAGAGGGTGTGGGAGACCTTTCAAGATATCCACAGAGGCTTCTCATGAGTGTTTGGCTGAGGATTGATCTGTATAAACATGAAAGGAAACTATCTAGATAGGAAACCACCTATTTCTGGGAGAGAACTACCAAAAAAACAGCAGGCAGAACAATTCTTGGAGCTCACACAGTGCTGGAAATATTTTGTCTTCTTGCCAGTTAGAGTGCAAGTTTCTCAGTGGGGAGCAAAAAAACTATATGAAGACACGACGGTCAAAATTTTTCCAAATTTGATGAAAACTATAAACCCACAGATGCAGGAGCTCAATAAATCCCCAAGAAGACACATAAAGAAAATCATGCCAAGGGACATCATTACCAAAATGCTAAAAACCAGTGATTATGAGAACAATCTTAAAAACAGCCAGAGAAAAAAGACATTATGAAGAGTAACAGAAAATGACAGCAGACTTCATGGCAGAAACTATGCAAGCCAAAGGAAAATGCATCAGTATCTTTAAACTATTCAAAGAAAAAACTCTTTTAACCTACTCAGAATTTTTTACTCAGAAAAATTACCTCTCAAAGAGATAGTCAAAATAAATATTTCTTTGCTTTGTTAGGACAAACCAAAATGGAGATTTTGTAGCAGCAAAGCTGTACTACAAGAAAAGTTAAGGGAAGTTTTTCAGGCCAAAGAAAAATTATACTAGACAGAGATCTGAACATTCACAAAGGAATGAAGAGCCATAGAAATGTATTGGTACATGTGTGGCCAAACATAAAAGGTATCGTTTTCTCTTTTTTAAGTTTCTTTTAAAATATATGACTCTTTAAAACAATCATGAAATAATGTATTATGTGGTTCATATTATATAACAGTAAAATGTATGACAACAAGAGCACAAAGGATGTGGGAATAGAAATACAAAACTATAATGTTTTTTCACTATATGTGAAGTGGTATAATATTATTTGAGGATAGACTGTGATACATTGAAGGTGTCTATTATAAACCCTAAGGCAACCACTAAAAAATTATTTGAAGGTAAACTATTGTTAACCCTAGAGCAACCACTAAAAAATCAAAGAGATACAGTTTAAATGCCAATAGTGGAGATAAAATGGAATCATTAAAAACAAAATCAAAAAACAATTCAATCTAAAACAAGGCAGGGGAAGAAGGGGGAAAAAAAAAGAACAGATGAGATAGGTAAAAAACAAGCAAGAAGACAGTAGATGTAAATTCAACCACTGTATTAAATGTAAATTGCCTAAACACCTCAATTAAAAGGCAGGGATTGTCAGATTGGATTTAAAAGAAGACTTTACTATGTGCTTTTATATGAAATCCACTTTAAATGTAAAAGCACATGCAGGTTAAAGTGTTTTCAGGGGAAAACACATACCATGCAAATGTGAGTAATAAAAAAAGAAAGAGCTAGAGAGGCTACATAAATATTAGAGTAGATTTTAGAACAAGGATATTGCCAGATATATAGAAAGGGACATTTCCTAATGAAATGAGAAACAGACATACACAATTACAGTTGGAGATCTCAACATTCCTCCCTTAGTAATTGTTAGAACAAATAGAAAATCAGCAAGAGCATAAAAGACTTGAACAACACTTGACCTAAATGATACCTACAGGACACTTTAACACCACAGTGTAGCATCCTCTTCGAGTGCACATGGAACTGTATTCAAAACAGACCAAATTTTGGAAAAAAACAAGTTGCCATAACCTTAATAGGATTGAAGCCATCCAAAGTATGTTCTCTACCACAAGGATAAACTTAAAATCAGTAACAGGAAGATATCTGGAATACCCTCAAATATTTGGAATTAAACTATAAAACTTTAAAATAATCTACAGAACAATGAAAAAATATCAGAAGATAAATAGAAAATATTCTGACCTGAATAAAAACAATAATGTAACATATAAAAAAATTATAGATGTAGTTAAAGTCAAACCTAGGGAGAAATTCATAGTATTAAAATGCTTCTATCAACAAAGATGATCTCAAATCAGTGATTTAGACTTCCACCTTAAACTAGAAAAAGAAAAAAGATGAAATCAAACCCAAAGCAAGAAGAAATAAGAAGTTAATAATGATAAAGATATCAACCAATGGAGCAGAAAACAGAAATAACAGAAAAAAATCAATGAAACCAAAAGCTAGTCCTTCAAAAAGATAAGTAAATTGATAAATCTCTGGCTAGACAGTCTAGGAACCAAAAAAGGAAAGTGACAAATTACCAAAATCAGGAATGAGAGAAGGCAGCTAATACCCCATTAAAGACCTAAATTTTATAAGACCTAAATTTATTCCCTACATAAATGGAGAGATATACCATGCTCATGGGTCAAAAGACTCAATACGGTAAGATGTCAGTTCTCCCTAAATACATCCATATATTCAATGTGATGCCAATGAAAACCCCAGCAGGTTCTTTAATAGAAACTGACAAGCTTATCCTAAAATTTATACAGGAAGGCAAAAGAACTAGACTAGCCAAAATAATTCTGGCAAAGAGTAACAAAGTCGGAGGATCTGATTTCAAGACTTAGTATAAATCTATAATAGTCAAGACAATGTGGTATTTGAATAAGGACAGATACATAGCTTAATGGAACATAACGGAATCCATACAAGACACACATATACATGGGTGAAGTAATTTTCAACAAAGGTGCCAAGATAATTTAATGGAGGAAAAATGGTCTGTTCAACAAATAGTCCTGGAACAACTGGATATTCATATGAATAAAAAAGAACCTGACTTTTACCTCACACCATATATAAAAATAGCACAATGTCTAATGCTGAAGTGAATGACAGAGCAAATTATTTCAGGAGCAGAACTGGGCACATAATTGTTAGGTACTACAGATTGTTTGGGATTGAGCAAATCAAGTCAAAAGGGCACTTACGATGGACTTTTTCACTGTTTTATTTGATTAAACAAAATGGAAAGTGACATGAACGCCAATGCAATTATTCAAAGTTATTTTACATTCACGTAGCCATCTGACTCCATAATATGTCATTCTAATTACCCATTAGAAAACAAATGATACTGGCAAATTGAAAAATTAAATGTTCAAAAACTAAACATCTGGCCAACCAAAAACCAAGACATTTATAAAGTAACAGCATGGAAAGGGCCTTCAAATTTATCCCAATTCAACCACACCATTTCAGAGATTAGGGTAAAGAACCTATGACTTGTTTTTTTAAAAAAATCACATGCAGGGGCAAGAACCAAGTTATCTTCATTGATTCTAGGGTAACAGAGATTAAGACAACTTTTTTCCATTTTTAGAAAAAATAACTATGCTTGGGACCTGTTTTCCTTTTCCGGGTTTTAACATCGACGATCACAGCCCTGTTCTTCTCAGTGAAGTGCTTCAAGATGATCACATTATGTGGTTCGTTGGCATTATCCATATAAACACAGCGGGTGCCCACACAGAGGACCTAGAATATGATTAGGAGAGACAGAAAAGGCCACTCAACAGTACATAGAGACAGGAAAGCGCTCTTAATTAGACACAAGCCCAGTCCCTTTTGCTCATGCCCCTGACTGCAAAGAGCACTCAAAGATAAGGATCTTCTCATCTCTTAAGTTCAACGCTTGGGAGAGGCCTGGTGCAGAACGAGCTAAAGGGCTTGATGGTTGAAGCCATGTTTTTACAGTTCTCTTTGTCCCAACCAGCGGAGAGAAATGAAGATTACAAAAGAGATGAAGAGGAATGCCAAAGTGAAAAAAAAATTGGGTTTTGAAGTTCCTTGTAATTTTATATATTATAGTTATCAATTATTCAAAGCCAATTAAAAAAATGAATCAAATTTTATTAGTAATAAATAAGATGAATTAAATGGCTATATTATTGAAAATGCAAGTTGAAACAAAGCATCTCATAATCTTGAAAATACACAAATACTATAAATACAAATTACATAAGCAAAGAAAAAAAACCTTCCAGAGACATATGCTATTAACACTTTGACATGTGTGATAAGAATCAGAAGAGGTGGCCAGGCCTTGAAAGTGAGGTACCTGGGGGAAGCCGACCAGCACGAGTAGGGTGAAAATGTTGGTGTGCTTCAGCTGGAAAGGCAACTGCTTGATGCAGTGGTCTGTGAAGGAAGCCATGACATCACGCCACAGGGGGGCACTATTGAGGGACCGCAGGATCTCCGCCATGGAGCACGCCCAGTCCAGGCCCACGCGGCTGGAAGGCAAGAGCTCCATTAGTGCAGTACACAGGCTCCAAACTCAGTTCATCAGAGCAGACCCAAGGCACACCCAAAAGCATGCCCAAAAGCCATTCATTTATGAGTTTACAAGCTACTAGGATGCTTTCCATATAATGGTAAGTGGGAAAACAAAATCAAGATCTGTTACTTACATACTCTCTCTACAGCTGTTTTTAAAAATCTCTATAAAAAGTCACATATGGGTGTGCATTGTGCATACTCACATTCACACACAGAAAAAAAGCTTAGAAGTAAATATATTAAGATAGCACTCAACACATTAATACAGTATAAGCCAGGGTGACTTTTTCCTTCATTTCTGTTTTCTAAATTTGTTATTGTGATGATGTTACTTTAATAATAAAAGTGGATCTATTTTCTTCAACCCCAAAGCCTACACTTACTGCTCTCAGGAAAAAACAAACCAGAATATACATCATCAGAAAGATGAATCAACAGACAGCACCTAGACTACACAGCTGTTTTAAGCACATGTCAGTTGACAGTATTGCTAATGAAACTAATTCTAGTCTCACAAAAGATTCCTCAACAACAGCACTGAAGCACACTGATACTAATCAACAGACAGACCACTGACTAAAGAAAAGAACACCAAGGCAGGGTAGGGCAGAATGGCTACCTGTCCAGACACACAGCTCCCAGGCTAAAGAGCAGATGGGTGGTCTTCCAGCCATCTGGCACAACGGAGCTGTCCCCTGCCGCAAACAGGTTGTGTTTGGCTGAGAGGACCTTGATCACTGCAGCATCTACCTCTGCTGGTAAAAGGCGGACGATTAACTGGCCGAGAAGACCCAGGGTGAGGTGGTAGGTTTCATTCAGGTGGCCTGCGTTTGAGATGACAACCTGAAACATGAGTGGGAGGACATGCTCCTGGTCTATCAGGGGAACTGTGGGATCCTGCCAAGAGAGGGAGAAAAATCTATTCAATATAAATCCATGTACTCAGACCAACTCTACACTCCAGTTCCTCCATAAATTATTTACAACTGACCTGGAGTCAAAGGAATTATGCAGTGCCTTTCATAAATGGCTTATGTGTGATCAACTGTAAAATAAACATTTTCAGGTATCATTTTATAATCCTACTTGTAATTTATAATCCTGTCCTCAAAGACATACAGATGACTGCTACTAATAGTTGTTTTCAGTATATGGCTTTCCCAAATTTTTTTCTATGCATACCATCATCCCTCTTTCAATTTTTTATATTTTTTCAATAAATTTTGTTCAACCTGCATGAAGCATATTGTCATAATTCGTAATGATGCTGTACTTGAGCTCTTCTGAAAAAAAGGGCTTGCCTTTAAAGAATTTATGTTATTGAAGTATAATTGACATACAATATTACACTGGTTTCAGGTGTACAACATAGTGATTCAACAACTTATGCCTTACAAAATGCTTACCATCCCAGTGTAGCTACCATCTGTCACCATACAAAGGTACTAAAGAATTAATGACTATATTCCCTATGCTGTACTTTTCATCCCTGTGACTTACTTATTTTATAACTGGAAGTACCTCTTTATCCCCTTCAACTATTTTACTCATCCCCAACCTATTTTACTTCCCCAATGGCAACCACCAGTTCTCTGTATTTATGAATCTTCATCTGTTTATTTGTTCATTTATTTTGTTTTTTTAGATTCCACATGTAAGTGGAATCATGGTATTTGGCTTTCTGTGTGACTTATTTCATTTAGCATAATACCCTCTAAGTCCATCCATGTTGTTGCAAATGGCAAGACTTCATTCTTTTTTTATGTCTAAGTAATATTCCACTGTGTGTGTATATATATACATATGTGTATATACATATACACACACATACACATATATATATATACCATGTCTTCTTTATCCATTCATCTATCAATGGACACTTAGGTTGCTTCCATATTTTGGCAATTGTAAATAATGCTGCAGTGAATGTAGGGGTGCATATATCTTTTTGAATTAATATTTTCATTTTCTTTGAGTAAATATTCAGAATAGAATTACTAGGTCCTATCATTATTTCTGTTTTTTATTTTTGAAAAACCTCCATTCTGCTTTCCATAGTGGCTATACCAATTTACATTTCTTACAGTAGTGCCTGAAGGTTCCCTGTTCTCCACATCCTCACTAACACTTGTCATTTTTGTCTTTTTGATACTAGTCATTTTGACTGGGATGAGGTGGTATCTCACTGTGGTTTTGATTTGCATTTTACTGATGATAAGTGATGTTGACCCTTTTCATGTGCCTGTTGGCCATCTGTACGTCTTTGGAAAAATATTCAGTTTCTCTGCCTATTTTTAAACAGGATTTTTTTTGGTGTTGAGTTATATAAGTCTATATATATTTTGGATATTAGCCCCTTATCAAATATATCATTTGCAGATATATTCTCCCATTCAGAACGTTGCCTTTTCATTTTGTTGATGGTTTCTTCACGGTGCAGAAGCATTTAAGTCTGATGTACTCCCACTTTTTATTTTGCGTTTCTTTCCCTAGCATGGGGAGACATATCCCCCAAAAAACTATAAATGCTGATGTTCAAGAGTTAACTGTTTAAAAGATTATATAGCAAAACCCATACTTCAAAAAAATATTAAAAATAGAATATTTGCATCTGCAAAAAAATTAATCATGTTGGTATATTCACAATGAATACTATCCTAATAAAATTTGTAAAAATTGAAAAAAAGTGAGTTTACTGCTTATGTTTTTTTTCAGGAGTTTTATGGTTTCAAATTCTGAGTTTATTTTTGGGTATGATATAATAAAGAGATCAATTTTTCCCAGCACCATTTATTAAAGAGACTGTCCTTTCTACATTGTGTGAGCTTGCCTTCTTTGTCATAGATAAACTGACCATATGTGCATGGGTTTACTTCTGGGCTCTCTGTTCTGTTCCATCAATTGATGTGTTCTATTTTTTGTGCCAGTACCATACTGTTTTGATCACTATAACTTTGTAGTATAGTTTTAAATCAGGGTGTGTGATACTGCCAGCTTTGTTCTTCTCAAAGTTGCTTGGCTATTCAGTTTTTTGGGTCCCTGCAAATTTTAGGATTATTCATTCTAGTAACATCATCCCTCTTTAAAAAAGAAAATGACATTTGTCTCTTACCGACATTAAGGGAGGTAGCATGGCTGCTAGTAATCCCAAAATCCTCTTTTGGGAGCACTCAGCAAACACTTGCTCAGGGCTTGGAATAACTGCTTTTTCCTCAATGGGCTTCTGAGATGATGCTTTTGAACTCTCAGCATCTGAGTTGTAAAACACCAAATTTTCAGATTTTACCAGGTTCTACATATGTACAAAGAAACAAGTAAAACACTGTACTGTCCCTGTGCCACTACAGAATAATCCTATGACTTTAAAAGCCTATTGCTGAACACACCTTGCTCAAGGGGCCTACCCTAATTACCTATTTAAATGTACGGCCTGCCCTCCCATCTCTCCCACTCCCTCTGCACTCCCCAATCCCCTGACCCTGCTCTTTTGTACTCATGACATTTAGTGACCTTCTATCATTGTTATTTATTGTTTATTGTCTGTCTTCCCTTCTACATTTTTGTTTTTTTCAGTGATATATCACAAGCACCTAGAAATGTTTCTGGAGCATAATTGGGTAACCAATATACACTTGATGAATGAGTAAACTGTATGTTAACCAGGATGCTGATCCTCAGTGCAGACAGACCAGAGTGGATTTTGGTGATCTGGACTGACACAGACTGTCGGACTGTTTTCTGGAACTTAGAATTATATGCATTGCAGAGATGGTCATCAAACCCTTCGGAGAGCTGGCTCCACAGCACAGGGTGCCCAATGCTTACCCTAACCTCCACCACAGAGTGGACACATGGGAAAGAGCCTGCCTTCCTGGGCTGCCTAAGGAAGAGGCTGAGATTTGCTCCAGTCTCTTCAGCCCATAGTACCTCCATCTCCTGGCCCACCAATCTTCCTAAACCCAGCTCTGACCTTGGCTGCTGCTATCCCCAAGCGGGCATCTGGGCCCTCCACAGCAGTGCCAGAGCACCCCTCCAGTTCTACCATCCAGCACTCCATGCCATGCCTACACACCCACCAAAGGGACTTCTTCCTGTATTCACCTGGGGGTTTCCCACTCTGGGGCCTCTGCTCATGTTGTTTTGTCTTGAATGCCCTTCTCCACAGCAGGCCCTAACACCTACAAGGTCCCCTGCAGCGCTTCCTTTATAAGGCTTTCTGTAGATACAATCTATTCTAGTTAGACACTAATCACTTTTAACCCCTTCTTACACCTCTCTTCTGGACAGAATCACTTTCCACCTCAAATTAGTTACCTGTACCTTTGTCTTAAATCCTCCCAGACTGTAAGCTCCATGAAAGTGGGATCTTTGGGTCTGTCTATCTGATGTGGTCCCTGTTTCATCTGCAGACTCTAGCACAGTGCTTGGCACATAGAAGGCACTCAGTAAATTAGGGAATAAGCAAGGCAGGAAAGCACGCAAAGTGAAGGGAAGATGACTTTCAAAGTGTTATCAACACCATCTGCTACAGAACTGAGAAACCATGCACCCTTGGCAGGCAGCTGACTTCAGTGTGCAACAGACATCTCAAGATGGGTAGGTGTGCATTTAAAAATGCAAGACACCAACAGTCAGTCAGTTTTTACCTGGAAGTCCTGTAGGTGTGCTAGCATCTGCAGGTGAGTCTGAAATCTGAGTCTGACATAAAGGATCCTTCATTAATGATACACCTTCAGCTGCCTTATTTCTCTGCTTGCAATCAAAAGTTCTGACTTCCTTATGAACATCTCTCTTTCCCTGAAAACAAAGTGGTGAGTGTGAAGGAATTAAGGTTTCTTATAACAAAAGTTTACTCATTAATACTATCATTTTTTAAATTAGCCAGTCTTCACAGATTAAAATACTTCTGAATTCCATTAGAAAATGTCCCTCATTTCTGATCAATATATCCTCTAATTAAGGCAGTAATAATTGCATCACATTCCCCAAACATCTTCCAGATCCCTGGCAGAGCCTGCAGTCACATAAGCAATGGCTCCATTACAAACCTCTAGTACATTCTACATAGTGTTCAGAAGCCAAGCATGGAAAGCTCTTCTCATGGAAAAAATTAAAAAAGTGTGCATTTCCTTCTAGCACACTAAGCTGATCTTTTTGAGAATTCCATTTTGGCATGGAGACTTGGTAAAGGGGTTCCCACTGGAACTAGGAGGGTTTTCTGGGCTCAGGAGTCCGGTGAACTGCCCAGACTGGCAAGGGGACAGACCTCAGCCTGAGTTTCCCTAGGAGTTACTCAAAAACCTGCACTGTTGTCACAGAGGAGCCACAGAAACTTTGGAAGTCACGTTGGAAGTCTTCTGTGCATGGTGGAGGCACCCCAGCTCCAGGAAGTCTGGGAAAGCCAGGACACCCTGCAGCCAAGGTGGAATACCATACAACCTCACATACTCACAAGGAGATCCCAGGGGCAACTGACTCACCCTCCCCTGCCTGGATACTATAACATCAACAACAATCCTACCTCATCGTTTCCCAAGGAAGGGACCTGGACTGGGAGAGCTACTTACCTTGTTAGAAATGCAGCCTCTGAAAACACCTCTGATACCATACTCTCTGACCATGAGGCCCTTAGTGGAAACAATGTAATTCCAAAGTTCTGGCTAATAACTTTAGTCTTGGTCTTCTTCCCTGTTAGCACAGGGCTCCAGAGGGCCATTGCGGTTGCACTGCAGGGCACCCAAGGGGGTCTCATTACTGGCCTGAGGCTGCTGTAGACAGAAGCCCCTGGATGGGGCTTCTGGTTGGAGGTTGTTTCTTGGTTGTTTAAAATAAAAGGTATCTCTAGTCACTAGAGGGAGGGAAGGAGGGAAGATACCCTTAATAGGGCCTGGGATTGACTAGAAACATGTGGGAGTTAAAAAAACAAGTGATTTTCACTCAGGGTCCAAATGGGATATGGTCCTCAGGGCCAGCACAGTGGGGACATTCACGTTCTGTTCTGGGGACAGTGCTGGAAACTGCAGCTTTGTTAGATGAAGTGACTGAGCCAGAGGTAGGAAGCCCTGGGTGCATCCAGCTGCTGAAGGAAAAGAAACCCAAAAAGTGGGAACACCTCAGGAATTAACATAGTGCCCTGGGAGCCCCTGGGAAAAAGGCTCAGTCTTGTCCCTAGGCAGGGAAGGCCTAAGATAAGCCTGAAGTATCTTTCTAAGCCAAAAATTAAGGAAGTGCTCAAAAAACAGTGGACACATACCAAAAGGACCCAAAAGTCAGCTAGAAGAAACTTTCACAGGCCAAACATAGGACAATTTGAGCATCAAAATAAGGAATGAAACATAATAGATTTCAATCCACTGAATAAAAAAAAATCATCAGGTCCATTCTGATAAAAATAAATGAATAATAAATGACTAAGTAGTACCATCCACAGTGCTTATAGATGGCATAGTATAATGTGCTGGAAACTCACAGGAAGATAACAATTATTCCCAGACTCAAAGCTGGAGACTGCTGATTTATCCTGCCTCTGGTGATAACGTTCTGTCTCACCATAATCTGTGGTGGTTAAGATGCTTGCGAGAGAAGGGGTTTTGTGGTAAAAAATGTCAGCACTTCAGAGAGAGGCTTGAAGATTATGTCGCCTGCCTTGTGCTGGCTCTCTGGGTGAATGAAACTAACAGAATTTCCAAGTTTCTGCCAGCCATCTTTGCTTTTGTCTTCCTCTAAATGACAATTTAAAAAAGGTGTAACCACCAAATGGGATCCTTGAACTAGTTAACATGACAGAGACAGAGGACAGAAACATCAGCAGTTCCTGAGGCAAAGTCAGGGGCAACTTCAGCATCAACTCAAGGTTTGGAGGCGGCGTCACAGAAGCTATGTTGCACTCTTCCACAAAACCATCTTTAATTACTTAATATTGCTATCACAGCTTATGACTGGATCCAGAAAAACTTCTCTTCTACTTCTAAAAGTATATGTAAACTACTGTGTCTACTTGCTAAATAATAAGCCCTTAGTGTCACCTATTTGTTGGCTGAATATAAAAACAGCTTCACATAGACAGTATTCACCATGGGCCAGGAACTAATCTCTGAAGGTACATCATCTTGTTCAGTCCTTAGAAAAATCACCAGAAGGCAGGTCACAGGAGTAGTTAACACTGATATGGAACTTACTATGAACACTGTTTTAAGCCTTTACATACATTAACTTAATATGCACAATGTATGTAAATCCTCACAGCAACCCTATGGAATAGGCATTATTATTATCACCCCATTTTACAGATGAGAAAAGTGAAGTGAAGAGGCTGTGATAAGGCGCCCAAGTCTGAGAGAGCAGGGGTCTGAACCCAGGCACTCTGGGTCAAGAGTCTGTACCCTTAACCTCTTGGCTCTTCTCCCTGGCGTGGATGGCTCTCTCTGAGTTCAACCTGTGATGGGCATTGTAAAGAACTGTTATTTACATTGCAGTGCACAAAAGGGCTGGTGTCTGCTGGCTCCTCAGCAACCTGGACAGTTTTCTTCTCTCGCTGCTCCTCTGATGGTCTGGTCGGTACAGTAACTGGTGGGGCCTGATTTTCTGAAGTAGAGTCACCATCTGGCAACATACCAAGAAGAGCTAGAGCTTTAAGACCTACATGGGAAGCAAATAAGAGAATGGTTAATAGTTTTATAACAAAGGTTCTTTCCTACAAATGCCATAAATCACTTTTCTACTGAATGGAAACAGATGGCTGAATTCTCTCCAAACCAAACCAAAGAGTACTCAGTACAAACCTCCCTGGCTAACCAAATCTATTGAACTCTTGATTGCAGACACCAAAGTTTGGATAGTGAGGGATACCTGTACTGTATTAAAACAGAAGACAAAAGAAACAGTACCATTGTCTAGAAAATCATGAACATTAACATTTTATAGTAGCCCACAGAACTATATTTCTAAATCTGACTGGCAAATAGATAACCAAAGAGCTCTGAAACACTGCTATTACCTGCCTGCTACCTAATAGCAGTCTGATTTCCCTAATGTTTACTAGAATGGAGAGTCCACTATTCTGAAAGGAATTTAAATGTCTCAGAAGTTTAACATTCATGTTTTTTTCTCCACAGCACCCCTCAGTAAAGTTAAAATCATTTAGATATTTATTAGTCAAACTACTTTAGTTATAAAAAGCTCTCATCTAGAACACTGTTGCGTGGAAGCAGATTTGTACTCTAGGTTAAAAAATGACTGTACCACTTTGGCAAAGTTAAGACTGATAGATTCAAATAGTAAAATACTTCATTCCACAGAATTCAAGAGTTTAAATTATTTTTTTTTTACACCTTCATAAACTTATTTTAGAGAAATTATATGATACTTTAATGCCACCATTTCTTTCAAATGCATTGGGAATTTACAATGAAGCTCCATACCATACATGGGTAGCACCCCTTATGGACACCTGGATGTTGTTGTACGCAAACTGAACACAGTCGCGGACTTCTGCTGGGGCTTTTCCTTCACACATAGCTGGGGGTTGGGTTTCACTCATGAGGAACAATTACCTTTTCCCTGGTGAGCCTGCATCAGACAGTCCCCCACAAGTTGCATGCACTGGCTTCGCAGAGTGATGGCACTGCCACAGGCCTGGGCATCCAGCTTTTCGCCATCCACATCCTCTGCGCTGGCCAGGTGGGCGCTATAGAGAGCCAGGGCAGCAAAGAGCAGCCAGGCGTAGTTGTGGATGTAGGGCTGGATGAGCCTCTGCCGGTCACTGATCCGGATGGTCACCATCGGATGGGCTGTGATACTGTGGGTAGGCAAATGGCTGTAAAGGCAAGACATTTTTAAGGACTACAAGCCTTTGAGGGGCTCCCAAAAGGAGACCAGGGCCTTAGGGGAGTGAGTGCAAGGTCACAACTAGGCATTAGTTACTCCTCAGGCTGTGGTTGTTAAAAACTTAAAGACAGGTATGGGCCCTCTCCCCAGAAATATGAACATACCAATTCAGGACTTCACAACCCACACCCCCAACAGAAGTCTATCCAGGTGAAACAAAAAACCCTTACTGTGAAATTTTGCAGGGTGTGGTAATGGCAATTTTGATAATGCAAGAAAATGCCCATAATTTTTAGAGATGGATATGACATATGTAGGAAGGAAATGATTTAAGGCCTGTAATTTGCTTTAAAATACTTTAACAAAGAAGAAAAAAAGGAATAAGCTAACAGCACATAGCAAAATCTTCCCAATTGCTGAACCTGGGTATGTGGGGATTCACTGCACTAGTCTCTTTACTGTGTTTGAAATTTCTTTATAATGAAAAGCATTTTATTATTTTAGAATATCAAAAGACTACAGGAAGAAAACATTGTAAGTGAGAGGTCATCTGAGACATACCCATAGGAATATTTCTTTGCCGCATAACATCCATAGCAAAGATCAAAGTCATCACACACATTGCAATTCATCCTCCGGCCTATGATCAAACCCTGGCAGTGGTCACAGGTAAACTCCATGTTGACCATTTCATGGTCATCTCCGTGGCCCTCCGGCTTTACCCCACCTGGGGAAAAACAGCCGCATGAAGTGAATTGGGCAAAGGGCTCTTAGAGGGCAGGTTTCCAAACCCAGACCAACCAACCCTAGGAGCTGGGCTGTTTCCAATTTATTGCTCAGGACATCAGGGGCCGCAGGCATCTTCTGGACACCAAGCTATTCTGCCCAGAGGCTCTGAGCACATAAACGACCCTCTTGGCACAGGACTTCTCAGTGATGGTTTTGTGGATCGCAGCACCCCCTACCCCCCACTCCACCAGCCCAGCCTTTTCAAGCAAAGTCTGATCATATTCTCATTAAGACCAATGTATGGCAGCAACAACTCCACCTGCCAATTTGTGAGCTGCCTCCTGTGACCCCTCCTCTGTCAACTATAAACCATCTATTGTGTGTTCCTGTTAAGAAGCACCGAGGAGTGATCATGTTTTTGCTCTTATTTCTTTATTCCAGGATCACAGATGAAAACAGACCACAAGCCCAGCCCCAGTGAGTGAGAAAGGATGTTAGTTCTGAAAAAGACTTACTGCTCTGGTTTGCTTCCCACTAAAGACCAGTGGGTCTCCTGTCATATACCCTGCTCATTACTCCTCCCCTCGGACCCACTCTGCTCCCACTGCTACAAACCCAGTGCAAGCACTAATCCCCTTGTCACTGCTGTGAACAATTTCCTAAGGAAAGTCATACCAACAGAACCACCTTCCTCTAGCCTGGCTCTGATCATGTTGATACACTGCTTGAAAAACCTTTCCCATCATCTGTAGGCTCATTTAAATTCCTTAGCCTAGTAGCTCAGGGTCCCAAAGCCTGGGGCCCACCTGTCTCAATCCACCATTGAGCTGGACGAACACTTACGAGCATCCATCTAAACATACTATAGACTCTTGCTCCTCTGTCCCTGGATTTTGCTCTGCTTCGATGGGTGATGCATTCTCCAATATTAACGTCACATTATCCAATTCTCACTTTATTCAAATACCAAATCACACCCTACCTCCTCCATAAGCCTTGCCTGCAACAGTGATTGCTACTACTTCTGCACTGTTCCAGAATGATCTGAACCGCTCATCTATAACTCAGCCTCAACACTCTTGTCCTGAAACACACATTTTTGTGGTTTTGTCAAGTCTCCTGCTGAGACTATAAAGGCACCTGGGGCAGGCGTTGTGTCTTCTTCTACTGGGCTATGCACAGAAAGAGCACTTAACTGCTCACTACCATTGATCTGCTTCACTTCAGCCCCTACAAGTTAAGAATATTATTTAAGAATTTTTTGAAGTCTGCTTTTGTGTGCGTGTGTGTATGTGTGTATTTTATTACTTGGAAACATGGCATGAATCAGAGGGAAAAATTATTTCCTGGAAACTCAACAGAATGTACACTCATTGATCCTGAGTGTTTATCAAGAGCATACACCCAGCATGATGAAAGGTAAAAGCATGTCAGATAACAGAGCTCTAGGGGTTATCATTTGGTTGGGGAGATAAGTCGCATATCTGCTAACAAGTCAGAGACTACCACTGGCTGGTATTTTTTTTTTTAGTACAATGGGAATTTTAAGAATGATGAGGTCACAGAAAATAGAAAAAAATGATTATGACTTTTGGAATGGCATACTAAGGCCCAGAACTTTACCTAGGAAGCAAGTTTTGCAGAGATCCATATCACTGCACTGCAGACACCGGTAGCGGTGCCAGGGGGCAATCTCATCACACCCATCACAGGAGATGTCCACATTTAACAGGTCACAATAGCGAGCAATAAACATGTGCATCTGTAAGGTGAAATAGATGCAATTAACCAACAGACTTTCTGGTATGGCCACAATTCATTAATCTATCCATCCTTCAATAGCTACTTAAGATAGATCAGGCATTGTACCAAGTGCTAAGATTAGAAAATGAAGGAGCTTAGTGTTTACTTGGAAATTCCCTCATGACAAGTCTTTGATAGGCAAATTCAGAAGGCTTACAGAACACAGAGAGGGATATCAATGGGTGTTAGGAAGGTCATTAATTTTTTGAATGAGATAATTCCTTAGCTGAGATCTGAGGGGCACATAGGTATTAGTTAGGTGGGAGTAAGGGCTGTGGATGTGCCAGATAAAAGCAATAGCAAGTTCTACAGAAGGCAAAGAGAGACCAAGATGATGGCATGAAACCGGCAATAATTCAATATGTAGAATACAGTACAGAAGAGGGGTAACCAGATAAAGTTAGAAAGGTTATACCACAAAAGCATCTCAAATGCTAGCTTAAGGAGTCATGGACAGTTTTTAACTAAAAGAGTAATGGGATTAGATTTGAGCATTCTAAAAGTTCTTCTGGTTATTGAGTGAAGAATGGATGAAGGAGGGCAAGATTAGAGTCGGGAGAATGACAGTGACAGAAGCTGTAGAGGTTACCCCCTGGCAGATGATAAGGGCTGGACTGAGCAGTAATCACCATGGAGAAAGGTGGGCAGATCTGAGAGGTCTCGAGGAGACAGAGCAAGGAACCCCGGGGACTGACTTCCAGATTTCTGGCCTGCACACTTGGACAAGGGTAGTGTCACAGATACAGGAAACCCTGCCAAACATGCAGTGGTTGCTGGCACTTAAAAATACTTTCTGGGGAGATAGTTAGGGCACCATTTTATGAGCAAACAAATTGTTTTACTGGATAGTACCTGCAGGCTACAGTACAGTTTATTTTTACAGCCTGGAAATAAGGGAAATAATTCACTAAGTCAACATATAGTGGTAGATTCAAGCAAGGATGCCAAGTCACCTTAGAACTACAGAATGGCTCCCAGGAAGGTATTAACACATGAGAGAAAAATCACAAAGGCCAAGTCGGTGTGCTCCATCCAAGCACCACGAAAGTGCTATAGGAGAGTAACTGGCACATAGTAGGCACACAGTACTAAGAACATTAATGAACCTGAGGCTGCAGGTGCCTGGCACAATGTGATGGTGACAGAGATACAACATGAAGATGGACACAGCAGGCCATCTAAGCCTGATGCCTTTACACAGTTGAATCACGTAACTCTGATTCCGAGTATACAGCTGCTTCCATCTCACCAGGCAACCTTCTGAAAGAAACATGGCTTCCCACACTGCTTGCCTACAGGAAGAGAATGTGCTATACCCAAGACACTGGGCCCAGGGCCTGCAGCAATTCCATTTCTCACTGTAAATTAATAAACTGGCACCTTTCATTATACTTCAGCCTCATGAGAAAATTTTCTGTGAGTCTAGTTCTCTGGGCGGGAGCCACTCTCTGAGTGTGGTCAAGGAAGCACTCGGGGCCCTTCGTGTTAAGGACCAGATTCAGTGGCAGCCCACTCGCTAGGTACTGCTGCCAGCCAGGGCCCTCTCAGGACACAGCCTGCTGGCATGCCACCAGGTGGACTCTCCTCTCCAAACTCTACCAAATCACTTCAGATTACTCTAGTTGAGAGGTCTTACTTTCCTCTGCTTCTCTGGATCTTCCTGGGCTATTTTTTCATACCAGGCCTCAAACATGCCGTCCTGACACTCATCCATCCATTCTGAATTTTGCTTGGCATCAGCAAGCTCATCTTCTTCACTCCATTGGCTGAAAGAAGGACAAAAAGAGAGAAAAGCATGCCTCTCCCAATAATCAAGGGAAGTGCTTGTTAGCAGACTCTGTGCCCTATGGGTCTACTAAATGGGGCATATTTAACTTAAGAGGAAGAAGTTGATTTGGTTTCCAAAGCCCCAGATGCTTGATAGATATATACCAATAAAAAGGCAAATGCAGGGTAGACTACAATGGGTGAGGAGTTCAGAGTTTGAAAGGCTGTACCTACACAGCATAATTCCACTCAAAAACCATTTGTGGTGAACCTACTATGTGTTAGGCATTGGAGCCAAATAAAAGGAATTTTTTAAATGTCTGATTTGGACACACTCAGCACACCCTAATGGTATCGACATGAGAAGGTAGTTGGGCGACCCTGGGGCTTCGGCTCTCCCACTGGCTGCTGCAGACCTTGACACAGCACTCAGCCTGGTCCTCAGTTTTCTCATTTCAAATAAAGCATTTCATTTAGCTAATCTCACTAGCTCCTTATAGATGTAAAATTATAATTTCCATAATTTCAGTTTACAGTTTGCCTTAGCAACCACAAATTTAAATACAAAAGGATTTTCTCAATAGCAGATGTAAAATATTTATCAACCAACAAATACACTTTTGTTTATTCATGCATTCCAGCAAATTGGCTTTGGGCCACTCATCCTCAGTTGTGGACTAGGTGCTTGGAGGGACCGGCAGTTCTACCCCCGGGACTCTACCAGCAGGCAAAGCCTGGAACGACAGGCGTGCTCCTTGCTTTGTCCCCTCTCCCCGCCAAGAGTGCCCACTGACAGCAGGGCAATGGCTGAGGCCTGGTCAACAAGTTGACACTTTTAGTTCTCTCTCCTTTTCCCAGAATCTCTCTTTTGAGGGAAAGTTGTCATTTATTTATTTCCTCTTAATTCTCTCCTCTTGCTTTTCTTCTCCCTCTTTTCTCTTTTCCACAAACATGAGTGGTTAATAGGAAAGTGGACTTGATCAGGGTGAAGAGACACTCATTAAAAGTGGAAAGAAAAAAAAAGCTTCCCATACTACTTTTTTCTCATACCTTAAATCCTTATAATGTACAAGAGGTTATAGAGGCTAAAATCACACACACATATAACAAAAAATATAGAAGAGGATTCATCAATTCAACAAGGTATATCAGGATCTCCCAAAATGCAGAAGACACAATATCACAACGACCAACTTTCACACACTACCATGCACCAGACACTGTTCTAAACATTGAGTAGAATTCACTTAGTCTTCACTACAATCCTATGATGTAGGTACCACTATTACCTCCAGCTCTAAAGATGAGGAAATGAGGCACAGAGGGGCTAAATAAATTGTCTAAGGCCATTCAGCTAGTAAGTGGCAAAGCCAGGACACTGCACAGAGAGTGTAGCTCCAGAGTCTGTGTTCTGAACCCCTACGCTATGATCCCTGTATTCCCTAATCTACTTTAGGAACTGCAGAATGCAGGACTGTGTCCTCACCTGATCACACTGTCATGGACACTTATATTTTCTTGCGACATTTTCATGAGGAGGTCTGGTAACTGAATGTCGACAAAGAAGGCAAGGTCACTGGGTTCCCAGCCCATATCCAAAAGGTGGAGCAGGGCTGTCTGAACACAGGACAGGGCTGGCAGAAAGGACCTGAAAGAGACCATGAAGGGGTAAGTGATTAGAGCTGCTCGCCACTAGAGGGGACAACAGAAACGATGTAAGTCAGAGACCTGGTTTGCTTGTCGGTGGACAGCAGAGGGGAGCTCCAGGTGACAGTTCTTATAATCTCTGGTCAAATTTCTTATACTCTATACAAACCCTCTTTAAAGGACAACTTAAGTAAAAGACTTCTGAAAGCATAAATGTTTCCACCCGGCTAGGACTACCTAGGGGACATTTTATGGTAAAGGATTGAGTAGTAAAAAAAATCTCCTCCTGATAAACAGCAAAATAAGGGCTTACCCCAAGTTAACCAAGGGTATGCGATTTAGATGTAGAGAAGAACCACCTGATGTGAGGGTTATATCTAAACCACTTTCTCTGGAGGAGACCAGGGAATGGCTTTACACTCAAGTTTTAAAACTGCACATAGTACATCAAAAACTGGAAATAACAGGTTACAAATTCTTAGATAAACTAAGACAAATCCCCTTTTAAAAGCTGTACACACTATATAGAAAAAAGGCTGGGAGAAAATATGCTAGTAAGTTAACATTAGCGATTAGCTCTAGATGGTAAGATTAGAGGTTATTTTTATTTTACTTTGTGCTTGTCTATATTTTCAACATTTGAACATGTATTTCTTTTAAAATCAGAAAAAAACAGAAATAATTTTGTTCCCTAGAAATTATGAAGTTATCCAGTACCTGTCATTTATGCTATTATATCCTTTAATTGCTTTGACCAAAAACAGAACAAATTGATAGTAAGTATCTCGAATTTCTTTGTGTAGATCTGCACCACAGCCCTCCAAGTGTCCGAAATAACTGGAAACAGAGGAAATCACTGATCATTTAATTGCTATAATGTCATTTACTTAATAATCATTTTTCTTTACATGAAAAAAAGCCAAACAGCAGCAAGCTAAACGAAGTGGTGCATGAAGTTAAAACCACCATAATAACTCCAGAAAGTAACAGACAAAATAGTAAGTGAATCCATCCACCTGGCAGAAGTGGGGAGATTGATTATTTATCTTTGTTAATATAAAAACCACCCCTCCCACCACTACGTGAGTGCCAGATACCATGTAAGGTATTTTTCACAAATCACCACCTTATTTAATCCTCTCCACCCAGCCATGCCTCCACCCCCACCGCCTCCCTTCCTTGATGGCTTTGGCACCACACTCGTTTTTTTCTACCTTGATCCTCACCACCTTAGAGACTTCAAACCCTGTGGGAATGATGCCCCAGTCCCTCTGTCTGTCCCTGGACTCTCTTCCATCCCTGCAGCCATCCCAGTCTGAGGGTCACTGCTTTGACCTTGTCACCCTAGGAACAGCATTATATCTGAAATCCTGACTTCTGAGCATCCTACTCTGACCACACCTCTCATGCTGCTCGCCTGTGACTCCCACCTGGCCTTTTCGATCCCAAAGAGCCCTGACCCACAACGCTGCCTCCTGCTCCCGATCTACTCCCGCTGCCATGCTTTCACTCTCTGCACTCAGCTTAAGATTCCATGGCCCATCACCATAATCACACCTCAGCAATCACTAATTCCTCTGATGTTTTCTCCCTCCACATACTAGCCTGCGAAATCTTATACCTATCAAAACAGCAATGAGTTGCTGGAGGAAACACCATACAATCACGCTGACTAGTATTATTTTAAATTAAAAACCATCACCCTCTCAAATAAGTACTCAAAATTGTCAGGGAATCAGACTGGCTTTCTTAATTTTCATTACTATTTCAAAACTTTCTGCCTCTCCTTAAACTGCCACTACCTCCTCCAAACCTTCATTTTTAGCTGACAACTCTCCTCGTATCTGACTTTTTAAAAACAGAAGTGATCACAGAAACTCCCCCATCTTTGCACCCCAAAACCTACCAACCAGCTTGCATCTCGATCCTGCTCCCACTGATAGAGTCCCCCTGGCTGTCAGAGGCTGACTTCTCTGCTTTTACAACTGCCACCTCTCTTCTTGCATCAAGTTCTCATAGCTGACTCATTCCCACCAGGAGACAAATGTACTCTTAACAGCTCTCAATAACCCTCAGCTGATCCCACATGTACTCCAATCACTGCCCTATTCCTCTGCTCCCCGGTAAGGCCAGATTTCTTAAATTACTTGTCTATAGTCTCTCTCTCCATTTTATCACTCCACCCTACCCTGACCTCCATTCTCTTCTCAACCCAGTTCAAGTAGGCTCCAGCAAGACTGTGGTCAGATCTGGGGTGTTACTGCTCAAAACCTCTCACATCAGCTTTGACAAAACTAACCATTCCTGTCTCTTGAGATACATTCTGCTTGTCATGGTCGCCCCCTGGTTTTCACTCCTGATGGCCACTCCTTCTGATCTCCTTAGCTGACTCTACTTCCTCTGCCTGACTTCTAAAGAGAAGTGCCCCTAAAGCCCAGTCCTGAGCCCCCTTCTGTGCACCTCTGCCCTTTTCCCAGGGGTCTCATCTGGTCTGGCTTTAAATACCATCTCTCTATGCTGACAGCATCCAAATTCCATCCCTAGCTCTGGTTTTCTTTCCAGTATTTCAGACTCATCTCTATTTTCTTTGTCCTTACTTGGATATGAAAGAAGCAGCTCAAACTTAATGTGGCCAGAACGAAACTTTTGATTTCACCCCAATCTGTTTTTTCTATATTCTTTCCCTCAGTGAAATGCATCACATCCACCCAACTGCTCAAGCCAAAACCCTACGACTGTCTTTCCCCATGACTCCTTCCACTCACCCTGTACATCTGACTCATCAATAAGCCCTGACAATTCTGTCACCAAAATACCCCCTGAACCTCACTCTTTCTCCCCATCTCTAGTACTATTCTTGGTCCAAACCACCACCATCTCTTGCCTGGCCTACTGTGACAGTCTCCTAACTGCTTTTCTTACTTCCACTATTTTTCACATAGTAGCCAGAAGTATCTTTTATAAATATAAGTCACAGTATGCTCCTCCTGTGCTTAAAATTCTCCAGGGGTTTCCCATCTACAACTCAGCATAAAACCAAACACCTAAAATCATATCCTACAAAGCTTTATGTGATGTGGTCCCTGACTAATTTTTCTGTCTTACCTCTTCCCATTTCTCCTACCTCACTCAGGCCCAAAGGCTTTCTTTCTGTTCTCTGGGCCAATCCCCGGCCCTATGAACCTTTGCCCTGTTCCTTCTGCCTTTAGTTCTCTTTGCTCAATCTCATCTAGACGTTCATCTGTTTTACATATCAGCTCCTCAGCCTGCCTTTCCTGACCATCTAAACTAGGTCACTCGGTATGAAATCACCACATCTGAGATATATATGTATATATATACACACATATATGTATATGCAACACCTAGTACAGTATATAGTCAATACTCAGAAAATATTTATTGAATGACTGTTAGAATAACCTTGTGAGGTACTTTGATTATATCATTACTGTAAATGAGCATTAAATTTAGCTCACAGCTTCCAGGAGCAAATGATGAATATAGGTTATATGGGGAATATAATTCTTGCCATAAAATAAAGCTGTAAACACATCAGGAGGAAAAAAACATATTCATGGTATTTACTTACAAAAAGGATAGAACCCATTTTTCCCTAGGGTGGGAGAATGAATTGACCAAAATCATAGATTTGCATCCTACATGGGAATGATGGTTATTGACTAGAGCTGACAATTAGGATTTCTTTAAAATGACCCTGGCCTGCTTTCCTTGCAGACTTGCAATTTGCACTTACTTGGTAAACTCTTTCTGGCAGGTCAGAAGTTCCAACAGGAAAAGTATATAAGGTGGATGGAAGCAATGGGGCTGCCCGAGGGATTCTGCACAATACTGAATTATCCTCAGGACTTCGAGGATGCTCTGGGCTTGGGCTTTCCTCAAGGAAAGAACCTTTATAACACTGGAGACAGAACTCAAGTCAGTAACACCAAGAAAACCCTTGGGTTGGGGCAGAAAGAAAACTCACAACCACCCAAGTTCTGATGCCACATTAATAAAAAGAAAATACTATCATGAGGGATCAGAAATATCACTCCAGAAGGACAGTAATTCCAGTTTGCTCCTTTTAGTCATTACTCAGTAGCATTACAAATCAGTTCACACCAATTGTCTGGAAACCCAGCAACCCATATTAAAAAATTAACTGATCAGAAAGGAACTTAGGTAGCTTTACATCCCCCCACTGAGACAAAGCCTTAATTCTTAGGAAAGGAAATTTAACATGCATTACTTGCAGAGATGTAGGCCACAAATAATTTTTTTTCAGAGATGTAGGCCACAGAAAATATCAAAGCCTAAACTCCCAGGGTTAAAATAAGATAAATTTATAAATGGCAGGTACTGAAAGAAATGTTTCTTTTTTTATCCTAACAGTACATTGAGATAGAATAATGTACAATAATGTACAAATCTAAGTGAAAAAATACTTCTTTAAAAGAAAAAAAAATCATCAAATTTTTCTAAAACAAATCTTTATCTATCTTTCAACTATTATTTGCTAATTTTTAGCATGAACTTGCCTTTGACTAGACTGGTTGTCTATAGCTTGAAAAAAGCCAGTGCCGGCTCACCTCTCATGGGAGAGTGACTGATCTTTGATGAAGTCCAGGACGTCCTTCAGTACAGGGTATTTCTCTTTCACCGTGGGAATTGGCCTAGCTTCCTCCATTGATCGGAAGGAGAGCAGCCGGAGTCGCCCTCGGGTGAAGGGAGGCCGCCGGGTGGGAGTGCAAGGGGACGAGGGCTCTTCGGCTGTAGCAGAGGGCATTTCTGAGGCAGCAGGGCCACCGCTGGGCGGCAGCTTTGGCTGGACGTCCGAGCTGGGACTCCTGTCTCCCACAGCAGGAAGAGCTGCGTCAGTGGGAGATGCTGAGGCTTGGAAATACTCTTCCACCACGGAGCTCGTCCTCTGGCGCTTGTCAAGGGGTTGCAGATGATCAGTCTCAGCTCCAGTCACCAACCTGTCACAGCTTCCTTTCAAACTTACACCCACGGGCAAGAATTTTAGTAAGAGAAGACTCTTCTGAATACACTCTTTTGCTAAATGCAAAAGCCAAGACAGATAATGAAAAAAAAGTCAAAGTTGGGCTTATCGTCTACTATTCTATTTAAGCTCAAAAATTTGGGACAAGAAATATCTCCATTAATACAGTGATATACACATCTACTGACAGAAGAGAATTATTTTAACCTCATTATGCAAATCAAAATCTCCTTAGCATTTACCAGCACACTTAGAAACAGGTTTTACTGTGGATACTTGCAAACATACAGAGAAAAGACAGGATCAGGACTCCTTCGTGTCGCCCTCACCCAGCTCCGGGAGTCACCAATCCATGGCTAGTTCTGCCTCACCTCCCCTCACCCCCATTCCCCTGATGACTGCCATGCAGATCCCAGACATCATACTATTTCAACTATAAAGACTTCAGGATATGTCTCTAAAAAAATATAACGTAATCATGATTATCATTAAAAAAGTAACTAATTCCTTAATTTCACTGAAAAAAGTGGAGTACGCTTTAAAAACATAACAAGGGGTAGCTCCAAAAGCACCTGATGCCTCCTTGGAGAAGAAATTAGGAAGATACTCCTATTTGGATCAATTACTCCTCTCTGAGATTTTTCTATTTGTGATACATCCTTGGAAATTACACTTAGCAGCTGTGTTACTTTCCCTGGGTCAACACAGCTTCAACTGAAATATTTCCTCAGGTGGGTCACTGGCTTTCTAAATAATGGAAACAGAAGACCCAGTAAGGAGAGTGGGAGTCAGCGCACTCACCCAGGCTCTCAGGGTTGGCCTCAGCAGCCTCTGACCCGCGCTTGTCTTCGGCCTCGTTCCCCAGGCTCATCAGGGACTTCTGCTTCACCTCTAACTAGGGGAGGATTTGAGCCACATGATCATACTATCCAGGCAGAGCAGCAAACCAGCCCTAGCACACTGCTTCCAAAGCACACAGCACTGAGGTCATGAAGAGCATTATAGTTGTTGCTCAGCTGTTGAGTTCACAGGGCTGAGCTGTTTCTGTCTGTCCAAAAAGTAACTCAGGCTTTGAAGATGTCTAAAGATATATCTGCAAAACTACCTTCTTTTCACTATACATTATTTGGGAAGGGTTTGTACCCATGCACCTATTGTTTTAAAAATTCTAGAACACTGGAGCTGCAGGGGCCCTTATCTGAAGCCGACCTCCTACACATGCAGAAGTGATCTAGAGAAGTGAAGGGTCATGATAGGGCAACATACCCAGTTTGTTGCAGAGGTTGTAAAGACTTGATCTCTACTGTACCATGAGTTCGGAGATACCTCTAAGTGATGCTAAGCCTGCTAGGCAGAGAAGGGTGCTCCTGTACCAGCACAGGCAAGGTCACAGTGTGGGCCACAGTGCTGACAGTCCAGGCAGAAGGCCATGTGTGGTAAATGAGAGGTCATAAGTCTTGGAAAGAAGGCTGGCATCTGTCTGTTGGCAATATGTCCTATGCTAAACCAGAAGCATAATTTACAATGTGTCTTGTCAATCACCAAGTCCTTTTTACTTGAACTGTCTGTGTTAACTGCCTTTATCAGACACACATTTTTTTTCTTTTTTCTTTCTATTTTGATATCATTAATATACAATCACATGAGCAACATTGTGGTTACTAGATTTCCCCCCATTATTAAGTCCCCCTCCCCATATCCCATTACAGTCACTGTCCATCAGCGTAGTAAGATACTACAGAATCACTACTTGTCTTCTCTGTGCTATACTTCCTTCCCCATGCCCCCGCTTACATTATGTGTGCTAATGGTAATGCCCCTTATTTCCCTTCTCCCTCCCTTCCCACCCACCCTCCATAGTCCCTTTCCCTTTAGTAACTGTTAGTTCATTCTTGTGTTCTGTGAGTCTGCTGCTGTTTTGTTCCTTCAGTTTTTGCTTTGTTCTTATACTTCACAGATGAGCGAAATCATTTGGTACTTGTCTATCTCCACCTGGCTTATTTCACTGAGCATAATACCCTCTAGCTCCATCTATGTTGTTGCAAATGATAGGATTTGTTTTCTTCTTATGGCTGAATAATATTCCATTGTGTATATGTACCACATCTTCTTTATCCATTCATCTACTGATGAACACTAGGCTGCTTCCATTTCTTGGCCATTGTAAATAGTGCTGTGATAAAATAGGGGTGCATATGTCTTTTTCAAACTGGGCTCCTGCACTCTTAGGGTAAATTCCTAGGAGTGGAATTCCTGGGTCAAATGGTATTTCTATTTTGAGATTTTTGAGGAACCTCCATACTGCCTTCCACAATGGTTGAACTAGCTTACATTCCCACCAGCAGTGTGGGAGGGTTCCCCTTTCTCCACATCCTCATCAGCATTTGTTGTTCCTACTCTTTTCTATGTTGGCCATCCTAACTTGTGTGAGGTGATATCTCATTGTGGTTTTAATTTGCATTAATCTATATGTGGTTTTAAATTGCATCGCTGATAATTGGTGATATGGAGCATTTTTTCATGTGCCTTTTGGCCATCTGAATTTCTTCTTTGGAGAAGTGCCTGTTTATATCCTCCGCCCATTTTTTAATAGGGTTATTTGCTTTTTGGGTGTTGAGGTATGTGAGTTCTTTATATATTTTGGATGTTAACCCCTTGTCGAATATGTCATTTGCAAATATATTCTCCCATAATGTAGGATGCCTTTTTGTTCTGCTGATGGTCAGACACTCCTTTCCTTAAACTGTCTCTTCTACTGACTTGGTTTCTATGTCAACACACTTCTGATTCTCCTCCTACTATTCTGATGATGATACCTGTTAGTATCTTTTGAGAGATCTTGTTCTATTTACCTCCATCTATTTACGCAATATATGCTGGGTACCAACTATGTTTTAATCATTGTGGATTCTGTCCAAGGCTATATGTTCCTGGATAAATGCATACACTTAAAAAAAAAGTATTACCAATGATTTGAAGTTAACTTTTACTTTGCTTTGACATTTCTATGAAGCAATCGCCATTTAGATTCTTTCACATTTACTAAATTCTCCTGCTAGATGTCTTAATAACCTAGGTGTCCTCCTACTTGACATGTCTTAAAATGAACCTACCTGCCCACTGCTAGATCCAAAACCATTTCTCCTGCTCTGGTCAGTGCCCCTACCATCTGCCAGGTCACCCAAACCAGGATCATGGGGATAGTCCTCAATTCCATTCTTCTGTGCACCACTCATGCCAATCACAAAGTCTAAGTATTTCATCTCCTAAGTAGCAGAAGACATACTCATCTAATTACCACAATTAGTCTCCTGCTTTTGATCTCATTATCCATCCTCCATTCAGTTATTTAAAGATGTTTTTCCCTAATTACCATATATTTAATTATTGTAAATATATTTAAAAATATATATATATATATCTCATCTCCATGCCTAAGAGATAAAAAACAATCTTCTGAATTCAGTGTTATGATTTCCATTCATTTGTATAATTTTACTAACATTTATGTTCATAACATATAGATTTGGTTTGTATTTAAATTATATAAGGAATATCTTAGGCATTCTTGTACAACTTGTTTTTGCTTTTTTTTGCTCATCATCATGGTTATGAGCGCCATCCATGCTGACACATGTAGCTCTATTTAATTCACTTTCATTGTAGTATAATACTATATTATTATTTCACATTGTAATACAGTATTATAAAGTGACATAATTCTTTTGTCCATTCTACAAATGACCTTTTGTTCTTCCAGTTTATTGCTATCACAAACAATGCTGCAGAAACACTTTTCTAAAACACAGAAATCCCTCTCCTTTGAGAGTGGCCTCTATCCTGCATAGAACTGTCATTGGGTTTCCTGTATCTAAAGCAATGCTCTTCCTCTTGGTCTGAGAGGTTCCACAGAGTGGCCTTCAGGGTTACTGAAGGATGTACAGGGGGGCTCTACTGAAACCTGTTTACTCTGAACATTCTCAACACTCACCAAATTGATTCCAAGGGTTCTACATTATTTTATATCCATTCATGTCACTGTACTTCAGTTTTTTTTTTTAATTCCTAAAGTTATATTCTTTAGAAGAGAGTTACTTACCTTAATTCCATGATAGCATGGTGGGAAAACTCGAAATACATAAAAATCGTAAGCAAAGGAAAATCTTACCATCCATATTCGAATCCCATCTGCCAGGGAATACACCTGTGCAAACTCCTCGCTCAGGGCTACCTTGCCCCCACTGTTTACTGGGGAAAGGAGAGATGACGAGATGATACTCAGTTAACACAATCCACTACAACAACAGTAATTAAGCACCAAGTAGCTTCTAAATCTCCTAACATATAGAGAAAGTCCTGTCCCTGACACTTACACATTGAGTGTGGTAAGAAAGGCTTAAGGAAAAAATGACAACAAATACCTGCAGTGGGTTCTGTGTTACTTCAAACTAACTTTTTTCAAATGAACAACATCTGAAGTGGGCACACTATTCAAGTGAGTAAAATATTAAAAGTAAAAATATAAAAGTAAGATATAAAAAAATAATAAAAGTAAAATTTTAAAAATTAAAAGTAAGTAAAAAATAATTGACACAGAAAAAAGTTCATGATATATATATATATATGTATTAAGTATAAAGGCCGGTTATGAAACAGTATAAACAAATTATCTTACTTAAAAAGTATACATATTAAAAACATAATGTATATGTATATACATATATACACATATAAATATATCCAGATAAAAGGCCAGGTATACATATACAAAAATGTTACTAGAGCTGTTTTCAAAGTGGTGAGATTATAGTTGAGAATTCTTCCAACATTTTCTTTACTTTGTAAGTTTCTACATGAATGTATATTATTTTTATGGTTAGAAAAAGAACAAAAAGAAACACTGATAAGGCCCGCCCCCTCTCTTTATCTAATAACCAAAGAATAATATACTAGAACAGTATGCTCTCTGTTGAACCAATGAATTCAATGAATATTTTTTGAATCTAGAATGTGCTAGACCCTACACCAGGCACTGGGAACATAATGCTGAGAAAACCAGACATGGTCCTTCAGCTCATAGTGTAGTTGAAAAACTTCTCCCATACATTTCTAACCCAAAAGGGTGACCAATTTTTAGACAAAGATGAGCAAATCTGCTAGAGAAGGACCACTCTCAAAGCAGCTGAGTCTTGAAGAATCCATGGATAGTCCTTATAGGCAGGGACAGACAGAACCAAGACCAACTGGGTCTCCTTCAAAGCAACAGTGGTAGGTATTCTAGAAACAGCCTGTATTCAGCAGAGTATTTCTAGTTCCTACATTTGAGTGTGTTTCTTTACTGCAAATAGATACGTGATATCTGAACATGGTTTGAAAAGTTGCTGGGGGAACACTTCTGCTGGAAGCCTTCTGTTTCTCAGCTTTTAACTTTCACAAGGCTTTTATCCCTCTATGGAAAGTTCCCGTAGGCAACAAAGACTGTCCAGCTCTCTTACTACAATTTCATATGGAAACTGTACACTGAATTTTTTTTTCTCAAAATCATACAGGTCAACTCCATCCCCACCCCCCAGAAGAGATATACTCTTCCATATGAAAGTTGTTTACATAAATCATTCATGCCTCAAGGTAGTTTTATTTATTTGAGCAGCTTCTTAAAGGAAATGTTAGGATTTGAGAGTATAATTAAGATGTTTTAGAAATTAGGAAATAAACTCTGTAATGTGAGATCCAAAGGACTCAGCAATAAAGGCAGCCAGGGATAATAATACCAATGATAACAGTAATAGTAATATGAGTAGCAGTCAATTACCCATGCTGATGGAAGGAAGCATTTGTTCCTGCTTATTTCATCTGCACATGGGAAGACACAGACCCTGTCACAGTGCTTAAGAACACGCATTCCTCATCTTTAGGTGGGGTCTGAAATGTTCTCCCCCTGAAAGATTATGATTAGAGAGAGACTCTCCCTCCTTGTGGGTCCCGCAGGCTATAGGCATGGTAAATTAACAGAGATGGTATCCCTGGGGAACATGAGGAAAAGAAATGGTGAGCAGCAGGCTATCAGCAAATGAAGCCATGGGGGGATGATGCTACAAAGAAGCTGCGAGTCTAAATAAGAGTTAATACCTACATTTCCTCCTTGTTTGTTAACATATTTGAGTGCCTGAACACCTCTGGTTTTAACTGGCATTTCTTAGAATGTCAGAGTTAATCAACTCTGAACTTTTACAGATAAGGATTCCAAGGTACAGAAACGTTGTCTGATTAGACTGAAGCTGCACAACTTCTGGTTTTGAGGCTGGGACTACAACCCAAGTTAAAGTTTCTTTCTATTAAACTTCTTCACAGTTTTCCATAAGAGTTTTGGATAAAGACAAATTATGTGCAAATTAGGAAACTCAAGGCTACTTGCCATATATTATAATCTGCTCACTATAAATTGGTCACAGATCTTTTGACTGGCAAAGTAGGACTAACGAGATAAAGTCTAGAGTTGTAGAAGTATGTTTATATTTCAAATATTTAAAATTTTTCACTTAAGCTTTCTTAAAACTTAATGATTGGCCGTCAGATCAAAAATATTCCCTGTAATATAAGTTACCATATTTTTGCAGCTTCTCATATAAATCTGGAGTGCGATACACCAGAGCAGCAAAGGTGGCGTTCACAGCTTGATCAATAGTGGAACCAGCAACTATATCTGTCTTTGGGGCCTGTTTTCTACATGCCTGTATGAATCCTTTGATAAGTTCTGAATATGGCCCACAGAAGTTCTGGGCAGGATCTGACTGTGCAAAATCAAGAAGAAAATGGTGGCAAGGATCATCAGGGATGTTCTTAACCTGGGAACAAAAAGAAAAGAAAAGAAAAAGAAGAAAGAAACCCATAATGTTTAACACAGTCATTCAAAAATGAAAGTTTACTGAACACCTATTAAGTCAAAGCAGAAGAATAAAACACAGTATCTACTCTCAGCAAGTTTACATCTATTTGGGGAGAAACCAGACAGATATATGGGTTAAAAAAAAAAAGGGTAAATGTAAATAAAACATCAAAAGCATTAAAACTAGCACTACCATAAAGCAAAACATTATCAAGTGCTAAATGCCTAGAAGGGACATGCAGTGCTGAGAATTCACAGGAGAGAACTCCCGGCAGGTTAAAGTAATTAAGAAAAGCCTCCTGGAGGTATGGGCTTTGGACTGGACCCTGAAGACTGGGCCTTCCTTAGGTCTGGCCCTGGGGAACATAACCGTCATAAGAAATTAAGAGTCAGTGGGGAGACTAACCTGGCCTGAAGTCTCAGCGGGGGAGTGGTGGGAACTAGAGTCAGATAGGTAAGGTGAAAGGAGACTGTAGAGAGCCTTGACTGTCACACTGAGGAGCTTAGACTTCACCCTGTGGGCAATGGGGAGCCATTAATGGGGCTTGGCAGTGGAATGACAAGATAATGCAGTGTTTAAAAATCTTGGTAGGCACCAATGTAACAATGCAAGTGCAAGGTGAGGGCCTGGATAAAGATGGAGACAGAGGAAATGGAAGGAAGTGACCATCACTGAGAAGAACCCACAGGGCTTGCCACTGGCTGGATAGGAAAGGTGAGGACAAGGTGGGGATAAAGGTGATGCTAGGGAGCAGGGGCTCAATGCCCAGGAAAACAAAAAGGACGCAATGAGAAGTCAGGGAGACACCTGGTTTTATACCTCTGAGTTAGAGGGAGTCAGAACCATGAAATGGAAACACCTAACCGGAAGCTGGAGATACATGACTAGAGAAGAACCAGGGCTGGAAATTGGAAATACTCAGGAATTATTCACACAGATGTGGGGAGAGAAGAGAGGATAAAGTCTTGGTGGGTTGTGGGTAAGAGGAGAAAGCCTGAATAAAGCCTACTCTTTAGAGGAGGAGGATAAGAGAGGTCAACGTAGGAGGCAGATGGGTGGTTAGATGTAAGAGAAGACAGTGGACTATCATGGAATCAAAAGAGAGCATCTGAAGGAACCAAATTTAATGGACATAAAGGAGAAGACAAGCTGAGAAAGAGCTCTTGGATTCAGCAATTACTAGTGAATAAGGTGGGGGAGAGGAGAGGAGGGAAGGAAGAAGAAGGAGGAGGAGGAAAAGTACAGCAGAAATAAAGGGAAGGAGAGGTGAAAAAGTGACAGCAAGCAAAGCCTAAATCATGTGTTACCCATCCCACAGAGAACAAAAAGTACAGATTAATCATTCACTCTGAAGTCTGACTCAGTGGGCACTGGAAATAGACTCGACTTGTTTAATAACTTCATCAGGAGACATTTACTGAGTACCTACTATGTCTCCCTGAAGAGTCATTCATTCAGTATTGTTGAACACCCATTACACACTGGATCCTGTGGTACACAGTGGGGACACTAAATGAACAGGAGATAGTTTCTGCTCTCAAACAGCTAACAGCTTAGTGGGGGTGATAAGATATAAACACAGATGTTTATAATTTAAAGTAATAAATATTAGTAAACATTTTCCATTCCAAATAAAAAGTATTAGAAACATAAATACCTCTTTACTATCCTGGTGTGGGTGAGTGGGCCAGCTTGCTTCTTCTCCCAACTCTGGGCACATTTGATGTC